TTCTGACATTCTATCTGGCATATCTTCTGACATTCTTTCTGATATGTTGATGGTGATGGTTTCTCTTCTGTATAGTTGGGAATGGTCCATCTTGATGGGTCTGAAATGATGTTCCCATAGCATTTGTGGTGAATATTTCTGGTTTCAGGATGTGGTAAACCATTTCAGACCCATGAAGATGAGGAAAAGATAAGAAAAACATATTGGGTCACATCACATAATTACACATCCAACCCCAAAATACCTGGAAGGTTGGATTGATTCCAAATCAAATACACATTGGTATTAACACATATCATTGATATCTTTGTTGATGGTGATGGTTTCTCTTCTGTATAGTTGGGAATGGTCCATCTTGATGGGTCTGAAATGATGTTCCCATAGCATTTGTGGTGAATATTTCTGGTTTCAGGATGTGGTAAACCTTTTCAGACCCATGAAGATGAGGAAAAGATAAGAAAAACATATTGGGTCACATCACATAATTACACATCCAACCCCAAAATACCTGGAAGGTTGGAATGATTCCAAATCAAATACCCATTGGTATTAACACATATCATTGATATCTTTGTTGATGGTGATGGTTTCTCTTCTGTGTAGTTGGGAATGGTCCATCTTGATGGGTCTGAAATGATGTTCCCATAGCATTTGTGGTGAATGTTTCTGGTTTCAGAATGTGGTAAACCATTTCAGACCCATGAAGATGAAAATATAATTTATCTGGCATATCTTCTGACATTCTATCTGGTATTCTATCTGCCAAATCTTCTAGCATTCTATCTGACATTCTATCTGGCATATCTTCTGACATTCTATCTGGCATATCTTCTGGTATTCTATCTGGCATATCTTCTGACATTCTATCTGGCATATCTTCTGACATTCTTTCTGATATGTTGATGGTGATGGTTTCTCTTCTGTATAGTTGGGAATGGTCCATCTTGATGGGTCTGAAATGATGTTCCCATAGCATTTGTGGTGAATATTTCTGGTTTCAGGATGTGGTAAACCATTTCAGACCCATGAATAAGAAAAACATATTGGGTCACATCACATAATTACACATCCAACCCCAAAATACCTCGAAGGTGGAAATAATTCTATCTGGCGGAAAAAATGCAAGGCGAGCATTTTGCAATGGAAGCTGTCAGGATGCGTCGTGTTAATCAGAGCTTTTTCAAACTGCCCTCGGTGGAATGGTCGAATGGCAAGATTTGGATATTTGGGATTGGTTTATTCAAAGTTGTGGGTAGACACAGTTCAGGATAACTCTGGGGTAAGTTGGTTTTACTCGAGTCGAGAAAAATCAGGTTTTTTAAACTTACCCCCTGTGTTAGGAAATCTTAAGGCACCAGAGTGTGACAAATATTTATTCATGTTTATTGTATAACCCAAAAATTGTTAATTTGAATTCCATCTGCATGTAAAACAAATAGACTAATACTAAATCAATATAGTCTCGAAATAACCACAATATAACCCTTAAATAAGAAAATATAGGAGATATGCTCCTGAGGGAAGGTACTTCAAGCTTTGATGTTAGGCTTACTGCCGGAGATGCCGGGCCCAGGGGTCTAAAGTGAAGTTACCTCTCTGAGCCTTCCAGTATCATAGCTGTGTTATGTGCAAGTTCCCGGACCCCTAGGTAAGGTCTAGCATGGTTCCGTTATGTTTCTGGAATCACCTAGGTATTTATCATTCCAGACCCCACTTTAGACCCTAGATCCAGGGTCTACAATGAAGTTTCCTAGGGTCTGGGGATAGTAGTTGAGAGGATGCATATAGTATATATAGTGGGAATATGTTGTGGAATACAGTGGAATTGACTCGAGTTGGGCCCCAGTTGGGCAGCCTTCGAAGCGCCAGGTCCTTTTGGGTCACCAGTGGCACCGCTATCACCTGCACCGCCACACCGGGGAGTTGCAGTTCACTTTGCAGCCTTATTGCCATGTTTTTTGGGATCGTTTTTGCTCAGTTTTGCTCCTTGTTCTTCTTGCATTTGGAATCCCAAGCCTTTCATAGGTTTCAGAATGCTCATGACCGTCATGACCACGTCTGTATGATGCTATGATCGGAACTCACGACCGACCACGACTGTATCATTTAGCACTGTTGCCAGGGGCCGCACCCTGGCAGGCTGCCCAGAAGCAACAGCGTCCAACTTCCAATGCATTCAAAGTGCAGTGGACATGCGAGAAAACTTAGAGCCAAACAGCTCCTGCCGAGGTCTCCAGGTTCTGCATCCTCCAGGTCTATAACTTAGACCGCTTATGACCGCTTAGACCTCCCTTTCGGATCCTGGTACAACATGATACAATGGTACAACAACTTAGATCTCTGTTTGTTGCAACATGTTTGGCCTTTTGGTACTCTGAACCTTTGGCAACTTAAACGGTATCCCCTACCCTCAAGCATAGGCAACGGCTTGGTCCTTCAACCACGCACGCAACGGAAATTGAGCCCGTGTGGCACAAACCAATGGCGCAACATAGACTGCGGTTAATCCTGCAGATCAATGCCAGTACTATCCATTCCTATTCAAAATTGTCATTCATTATCCGTTACTATTCATTGCTCTGGAGTCAATATGCACGGACAGGTGTCATGGTTCAAAACTATCGCTGTTGATCATTCGCCTTTGTGCTGGGTCTGATTGTGTTGGGAAGTGTGGTGCAACGGGTCGCGAGGCTTTGCACCGGGATTCGCACATGTACCTCCAGGACAGATTGTAGAAGTGTGGCACCATCGCCGCAGCGTTTGCCGCATAAATCCTGATCAGTAGATATCAGTAGTATCTGCTATGGAAGTGTACTGTTCAAACCCTGAAATGCTACTTCAAGTATCTTCAAGCAAAGGCATTGTAGCTTTTAACATCTTTCAAAGCAGTAGATGTGCCAGTGTTATGGTCCTTACATGTTCTTACAACTTTGGATCAATGTGAGATTCATCTTGAATAGTTTTTCAAGGACTTGCAACAACGTGATAAATTTCATGATATGACATGGACAACTGGCAGAATCTGGCAGATGTACGCCACCATGACAATGTTTAAACAATTCAACCACACATCTGAGAAAGGGATGTGCTAACAAATTACATTAAATGTGAGAATGTGTGAGGAAAGATTGTGAAAGCGGTTGAAGTTTTGATGCCTGGGTTGAGTTGAGACAAAGCGTTCAGCTGCAGGCGCAGTTCTAATGCCTGGTTCGCCAGGAGGCGCCGTGCGGAGATTCGGAGAATGCAGATCTTGACACATTTCCATCATTTTAAATCCCCCGACTTTTGGACTTTGGACACTTTGGACACTTTGGACACTTTGGACACTTTGGACACTTTGGACACTTTGGACACTTTGGACACTTTGGACACTTTGGACACTTTGGACACTTTGGACACTTTGGACACTTTGGACACTTTGGACACTTTGGACCTGTAATTGAGGTTTTCTCAAGCATCGTGAATGTTGCTTGGTCATCTTGAAACATGTCTTCAGTTGCTACAAATGGTTGAGCCAAACCTGCGACCAAAGTTACAGTTCTCGGCCGTAGCTGTTGAATTCTCTTCTTGCAGCTTGTTTCCCAAAAGTTTTCTAGCCAAAGGGACCAGCTTCTGACATGTCTAATGTGGTACCAGCCTGGGTTGCGCACCGATGCTTGTCCTGTCCATTCGGCCTGTGCCACCAGTTGCGCTGCCTATGGGATTTGCAGCAGGCAGGAACAGCAAGGGACCTTTTAAGGGATCTTTTGTTGCAACAGACTGGTTGATGATGACTTGATTGACTTGATGCTGGTTGTCATTCTTTGATGGCTCCAAGTCCTGCAGACTTTGGCACTCTGCATTTGAAATCAGCTAGCCGCCCCCTGCGGCATGGCGCCAGCACCAGTGTACGCAGGTGCATATCCCGTCGGTTTCCAGGTGGGTTTGCTGGTCGTTTCCAGCAACTTTCTCCACCAACGCCAGACATAAAATCTGCAAGGTTGTGTTGGAAGTGACTTCTACAAACAAAATGCATCAAAATGCCAATTTGCCAAACAGTGAAGGGCTTTCCCAAACATTGGCCAAATGTCAGGTGCCAAAAGCCGGACAGCACCCAGCCCCAAAGGCACGGAGCCCAAGGTGCATGGACATGCAGTTTGACCCAAGACTGTGCTGATTTGTACTGATTCATATTGAAGCAAATAGATTGAAGAGATTCCACTTTGACTCCCATTTCAGAATTTACAGATGTTTTTTGGGAAGCTACATTGTAAGATTTGTAAGATACACACATATATATATACATATATGTATATATACAATGCTAGCCTGTACTTAGGCCCCTGGCAAGGGACCCGAGCGGGCCTTGGAGGGTTTCTTTGTTTCCTGAAGCAGACTTCCACCTGGTGTCTGTTAACCTCATCCACGGAAGTTTTTGTTTTTGTTTTTTTCCCAAGCAAGAAGAAAACAAGAGAATGCATGCATATGCATGCATGAATAAGCAAAATTTCAGCAGTCAAAGCAATAGCTTTCATATTTAGGTTCTGCTTGTTGTTCGATGGCTTGATGACATGCTTCAGGTTCTGCCGGTAGGAGGTGGTTTGCCGCCAGATGCACAGCCTTCACCGAAGGCACAGCCTCGGATTATCGATGGCAGTGGAACTATTGAAGCTTGGTTTTGGCATGTTTTGGCAACTTGTTCACACTGTTCGCCGCTGCTTCATCTTGTACCACGTTTGGTCTATACATTTATGCTTGCTCATCTTGCTTCACAATGATTGATCGCTTAAAACTGCGAATTTGTATGAATTTGTGAATACATCGAATACACTTGAATACATCCAGGCGGTATCTGATGATTCGCCGGTGTCCAAAGTGGTCTCACAGGCGGACTGGAAGCTGAACATGCCTCAAGTAGATGAGCATGACAGCAGTTGACAGCATGTGATGTTGAGGCGAGAGATTCCCAAGGATTGTGTATTGATCTTGCAAGGTTTCCACTGATGGCAGCCCTATCACGAAAACGTCATCCGGCCTTGCGCTTAGCAATGCGCTTCAACAGCAAATGCTAGAAACACATCGCCTTGTCTGCAAGTTGATCCCGCTGAAGGACAATTCAATTGACATAGAAAACAAACACAACACGGCTGTGGAACATGTCATCAGAAACCGGTTCAAATGCAGAGCTGATTCCGTTGTATGCAACATATACAAGACAGGCTGGGATGGATCTCAGTTCGGCTCCGGACGTCTGAAGGCACGAGGTGATGGGAGGTGCAAGGATATCATGTTATCATCCAGGCAGCATGGCAGACATTGGATGACATTGGCAGACATGGAAATTTCTCGCACGTTGTTTTTGCGAACTTTCAACATGATGATCATGATGCCACCGAATCGTTGTTGCAAATGCAACTCTGTCAGATTGTTTTGGACGACATGGACGTGGGTGGCTAAGACAGTTCTTTTGTGCTGACATGTTGGAACATGTCATGATGTTGAAGTTGTTGAAGTGTTCACGGTGTAGCAGAGCAACAGCTCAGGCCGAGTTGCGTGACATTTGCGAGAGAATAGACGTGGGGCATCTGAGTTTCGGAAAGGATCTTAAGGGTCGTCCGACTTGCATTGCTGCTTCTTGTTGGAAGTATATATCTGTTTTTGAGGTCGTCAAGTACACCTGTTTCATTCATTTTCAAATCACACATGATCACACAAGTATATGTGATGTGTATTATATAATGTAGGGTAATGCAGTGTGTATATATATATATGATATATATATACATACATAATTGTTGTTCTTCCCACCGCCCTAGTGACATTTTGTGACACCAAGACAAAGCGCCGCGGCTATGTCTCAAAGTTGGAGTTGGTGGCCGCTGCACAAAAGGATCCTGAGGCTGAGACAGATGACATCTTGGAGAACTCGTCGAAACATTTGAAACACCAGTATAAACAAATAAACAGGTGTACTAACAAATATATTATGTAATATGATAGTGTCTATTAATAAATTTTGTAATATTTATTGTATAACTAATAGAATTAACATTAATAAACTATACTGTACATGATAGTGTCTATCTATTATCTATTGATTAATATTCTCATTTTTCATCAATCAAATGGAATCAAATTTAAATCGAAATCGAAATTGACATTAAAATCCAATCTATCTATGCACAATATGGAAAATGGTAAGTCTATATAATAGACATGCGTAATATAGATGTACTTGTAGGAACTGCGATGAATGGCATGAGTGGTAAGACAAATGCTGCACATGGAGCAGAAACTGTGAGATGCAACTTCCTGTCCAGGTCGCAGCCTTTATCCTCCCGAAGAAGGGTTTTAACATTCCAGGCCTTTGCCTGGAAAGCTATGTGCCCACGATCTTTGGAGCACCTGCAACATTTTGCCAATGCAGCACAGAACTATACTAGAATTTGTGCATACAGACAGTACATCTGTGTAACATGCATATATTTTTTGTTTCCGCAGAGATATGCAGTTCCTGTCGAACTACACGTCAGCAGCAGCTTTCCGTCAGCCGAATGGAGAAACAAGATGAAAAACGAGAAAAAGAGAAAAGAACAGGAGAATCTGTGGCTGCAGGATAAGCTACTAACCAGCACCTATAACACGGGACCCGATGGTTTTGTGTAGGTGGACCCCAAAACCAACGAAACGACGGAGAAACAATAATCACAAAGGAGAAATATATTTAAGGACATCGGTCCCATGACCCACAGCAGGGTTCGTGACCACTTGTCTCTCGCTTTGGAGAGTAGAACTAGAAAAGGGAGAAAGTAACAACAATGGAGTGACCGTTGTCTCCCGGCACGCCTCTGGCGGCCCCTGCGAGCTTTAGCTGCAAGGTGCTGGAGTTGATGTGGCTAGAAGGAAAATTTTGTCTAGGCCCCTAAAATTGAAGTGGAGAGTGCTTAATAAAAATTCGCCATCTGTGATGTGGCATGGTGTGGTCGGAGCTGATGATAACAGCTTCCTGGTGGTAGTTGCCTCCAGGCAAAAATGTCCTTTCAGTCCTGCGAGAACAGGAAATGGAAATTGCCACGGCCCTTCAGTACAGCATGACAATGAGTGTACATTCCAGCAAAAGAAGAGTGAAAAGTAGGACTTGATGTGGAAGACCTCCCCCTTTGTCTTCATCTTGGAGTGAAATGTGAAAATTCCAGAAAAATGTGCGTGGAGGAGATATCGATGAAGTAGAAAATTGGCTGGAATTGCAAGCGGGAGAACAATGCAACCGAAACGAGACACAATGAGACCAAGTAAGAGATGGTTGAATTGGTACTGGTTCCAGCAAACTCGGAGAATGAGATGTAGAAGAGACTGTGCAAGGCTTCCCCCACAGCCTTGAGGAAGGACTTGAATACGACAAATCCAGAAAATTGTGATTGGAGAAAATGCCGATGTAGAAAAATGTAGCCAGAACAGCAAGCAGGAGCTGGTATATAGTGCAGAAGCGGTCGCCAAAAGGTTGTCCAAGCAGAAGATGGATGCTGCTTGAATTGTACGCGAGGCTGACATGGCAGAGAAAGAATCCTGATTGGATTTTCCTGAAAATACAGGGACTTGCGAACGGAGGCTAGCTAAAGCTTGTGCCCACGCTTATGCATATATATATATATATATGTATGTAATGTATGGTATGGTATGGTATGGTATGATATGGTATGGTATGGTATGGTATGGTATGTATATATATATAAATCTCTCTCTCTCTCCCTATATATATATATATTTATGGCCATGCATATGTGTAGATGTACATATATTTTTATACATGCATAATGGGACAGATTGTCGTCAATGACTTTCAACAAATGAACATTCCCACTTGCAGTTCTGTCGCCTATTGCAGGTGAAGCGACGGACGAAGAGATCTTTGATGCAGTGATGGATGTATTTGATTTGATTTCCCAAGGAAAGTGTGCTACTCAGTTCAAACTCACACTTTTGCGGATTCGCGTTTGTTCCCCACCTGCCAGGTGAGGGTTGTTAGATTTTATCAGAGCTGTTGTCCTCCCCCTCCTCCGCCTCCTCCTCCAGTTTCTCCTCGACCATGTCTGCATCAACTTCCACCTCCACTTCCGCCTTGCCAACTCTTCGCCAAGCTCTTCGCCAACTTCCGAGCTCAGTGCGCACTGCTGGACCTCAACCTGGGACCTTCCCAGCTCAGTGCGCACCGCTGGACCTCAACCTGGGACCTTCCCAGCTCAGTGCGCACCGCTGGACCTCAACGGCCAGATAGAATGCCAGAGGATATGCCAGATAGAATGTCAGATAGAATGCCAGAAGATATGCCAGACAAAATGCCATATGATATGCCAGATAGAGTGCCAGAAGATATGCCAGATAGAATGTTAGAAGATATGCCAGATAGAATGCCAGAAGGTATGCCAGATAAAGTGCCAGAATGTTTGCCAGATAGAATGCCAGAAAATATGCCAGATAGAATGTCAGATAGAATGTCAGATAGAATGCCAGAAGGTATGCCAGATAAAGTGCCAGAATGTTTGCCTGATAGAATGCCAGAAGATTTGCCAGATAATATGCCAGAGAGAATGCCAGATGGTATGCCAGATAAAGTGCCAGAATGTTTGCCAGATAGAATGCCAGAAGATTTGCCAGATAGAATGCCAGATAGGATGTCAGAAGATATGCCAGAAGATATGCCAGATAGAATGCCCGAACATATGCCAGATAGAATGCCAGAACATATGCCAGATAGAATGTCAGATAGAATGTCAGATAGAATGCCAGAAGGTATGCCAGATAAAGTGCCAGAATGTTTGCCAGATAGAATGCCAGAATATTTGCCAGATAGAATGCCAGATAGGATGTCAGAAGATATGCCGGAAGACATGCCAGACAGAATGCCAGATAATATGCCAGAACATATGCCAGAAGATATGCCAGGTAGAATGCCAGAAGGTATGCCAGATAGAATGCCAGAAGATATGTCAGATAGAATGCCAGAAGATTTGCCAGTAACAAATCCATAAATGTCATGGTGGGGATCACACGAAGTAAAGTATTTTTTTTTTTGCGGCCACTGCAAGTTAGATCTGCTCCATTGGACTTTGATGCAGTCGCCTTTAAGATCAGATGTTGTGGAGGCAGCGAATCAAGTTCACAGACTTGGCAGCATTCTTTGCCAAGGAGGCAACATGATGGGTTGACGGGGGGGTTAGCCCCGCTTCCAATTGTTTTGGTTCGTCTGTCTGTCAAAGGCAAAGTGCATATCATCAAAAATTAGTGTTTCGCTGTGGCGAAATGGCAGTTTTCAAACATGCTTATGATGTGTCATTGACTTGAGTTCTGCTTAGCAGTGTCAACATAACTTTCATTTTTTCAAAAAAATGGATGTTGGGAGCAACCCTTACAGGGGTTTGTTGCCGCGATACATTTGCATTTTGAGCTCTTTTTTTCATTGATGTGTCAAAGGCAAAGTCGCATGATCAAAAAGGAGTGTTTCGCCGTGGCGAAATGACAATTTTCAAACATGGTTATGTTGTGTCATTGACTTTTACAGGGGTTTGTTGCGGCGACACATTTGCATGTTGAGCCCTTTTTTTCACTTGTCTTCCATCCACGAGACATCTTCAAAACATTTCACATGACTGACTTTGTCAGTCATGTGGGCAATGAATTGAGCGAACGCCATCATAGTCGCTTCCAGGCCTAAGTTCTTGTGAATGTAAAGTGCTGACAAACCATCCACGTGTGCAGTTTTCAATGAGAGGCCTCCAAGCTTATTGTTTCGTCTCAGCTGCTGTTTCAGCAGAGCTGTGTGAGATTCTGCGACCTGGTCTCCTCCGACCATGGTTACTTTATGCCGGCCAGTTTGAGCTGCTTTGCAGCCAATGGCTTTCAAGGCTGTTGTGGAAACCTTTCTCTTTTTGAGGGACTGTACAGGTGTGTATTCTGACAAGCTATGTCTAGCAGTGACTGCTTCCAAGTTCAATTTTTTTCTAGTTCCCTTCAATCCTTTGGAGGCATCGGAGCCCAGGATGTGTTTGCTGGGGTTCACTTTGTGTTGCAAGAGCGGCACAACTTCGTCTAAAGTCTCTGGCGGGCCAGGAGCAGATGTAGCCGTGAAGCGGTCAGGCAAAGGATAGAAAGCGCTTTGTTTGTTTTTTCTGCTGACAGCCACTAGAAACCGACCACCATGCACTGCCACTTTGGAAGTTGGTTTCTTGGCAACCGTGTTCCCGGCTGGCTTCTTTGTCATTTTTCGTTTCTTTGACCCCACCTTGTTTTTCTGGTTGCCGTACGACACGAATCTACCTCCAGGATTCCGGCGTCAAAGGTCATGGATTTGTTTTTCTGAAACTCAGCCCAACCTGTCACCATGCGAGCTTGCTTGTAAATGGAATCGACATAGTCATGGGATCGCCCAACAATGTGCGCAGCTGCATCTTGAGGAATCTTAGCACTGACACAATAAACCGTACGTACGAAGCCTTGCATGTCTGGTTCATGTCCACCTCTCAGTCGGTTGATGAAGGGTGTGTAGCCAAATTTCCAATTGATACCTACAGGCAAGAACGGCCACAACTGAAAAACGCACAAGTCGAAGACTAGGTGAACATGCGTATATCATTTGCGATGGATCCAAAAAAATGAAACCATACCAAGATGCGAGGTCGCAGTGCTGGACAAGAACGGTTCGAACAACGCAGTAAGGCAGGATCTTGTTGAAGCTGGTTCAAGGATGCTTGACATCTCCAGCACTGACGTCCCCACTGCACCCCGAAGAAACCTTTGGCTTCCAGGTATTTTTTGCACCGCATTTCAGACCACAAGGCTAAGGATGCAAAGTCAATCTGCTTGAGACCTCGCAAAGCACGGTACTTTTTGAATTTCCCACGGATTCCGGGAGAATAGCTGAGACCCTTCTTGTGAAATTCTCTGTTGACACCAGAACTCGTAGCGATGGTGCGACTCGGAGGTCGTTTGCGCCCAGAGGGATATCTATCATGTCCGAGGGATTTTTTCATTGGACGTTCCCTGTGTGAAACTCGGACCTAAAAAGGCTTTGCAAAAAAGACGTGACATGAGTGGAAAATGGCCACTGGCTTGCTCAAAAAAACCTCACACCTAGTGAAACACATGGCACCCACAACTTCACCAACCAAATTCTGGCGACTGGGAGAAACGTGCAAGGTGTGTCTGCAGTCAAGGTATCAGAGTCATGGCCAAGTGGTTTGAATTGATTCCCATGATATTCGCGATTGACAGGCCATTTCATTCTGCGGAAACTTCATGCTTCATTCTTCATCAGGTGCAAAGATCTCTCAGCAAACAAACCGCAGCAGCAGCTCTTTTTCCGATTGGCACAAAGTTCTTCACACATCGCGCTCAGTGTTTCGGCGCAAACTGGCAGGGAGTTCTGCATACTTGTTTCTCATGAACTTGGGCAGCTCCGACCATTTGTCTTTCGGAACAGGAGCGGAAAAAAACACATTCTTTTACCATCTTGCACTTTCTTGAACCTATTGCAAAGCAAGCGAATCTGTCCTGCAAATTGACCAGAAGCATAAAGGTGCGGCGACAAAGCATTTCCACAGTCTGCCCGCATGCATCTACCCCATTTTGTGTCAGGCAGGGAGGTCGCTCCATCTTCATCTGCGACCGGTTTGACACGGTCCTCAAAGAGCGCAGCCCGCTGCAGCATCGACATAGGGCCGCCAGACGAAGACGCAGCCGAAGATGAGTGAGTGAGCTCGGCAGCAGAAGCTGAGGGCAACCTGAGATTCATCATTCTCAAATGCAAATGAATGCATCAGGGAAAGAATTGACAGTACAAATCCTTGGAAAACAATTCGAAAAACAAACCAAGAAGCGGGGCATTCACAGAGTGCTTCAAAAGATAATCGAGTTTTTGTCGCAAAGCTATAGGACTATCGATAATCTTTCCACCTTGGAAGCGCGGTGGCGACAAACTTTCCGATTTAGCTGACGATGCATCTCCTTCAGCATCTTGACTTTCGGATTCCGATTCCAAAGTCAACGTAGGAGCCAACATTCTTCGAATCTCCGGGCTCTCACAGACCTAGGATACAACAGTTTGAACGTCACGAACATGACAGTACAAAGTCTATTTCGTCTATTTCGGCATCCGACAAGAAATGATAACGAGGTCATCTAAGGAAGAAAAGTAAGATGTCAAGAAAAAAACTAAAACCGAACTCAGAAACAGGAATCACGGAGGGTGGATGTTCAAGAGTTCTGCGTCCTGCAGTCGAAAGCGGCTCAATGGGCTGCCCAGATTCCAGCAAATTTTGCAACATCATTTCACATTGAAAGTCCCAAGGTTCAGCCAACTCTGAGTCAGGAAAGCTCTGCGGCATTGTTCCACGTAGCCGCTTCTGCAACCATTCACCTTGTTGAAGAACTTTCACTGGCAGAGGCCTATGTTCTTTCACATAACGAAACCAAATTTCCTTGAGAACCGACAAACCCTGGCGAAGGCTCGTCCAATGATACACTCGTTCCACTGCAGCAAAGGTGGTCTCAGCTCCAGCATCCCCATGCCATTTCAACGCTAAGATGTAGTGAACATCCCACAGTTCTTCCGTGCTCAAAAAGGACCAAAGAACACAGACAGGTGGAAACTTTTCATGAGCTGCGCGGAGGAGAATTAACAATGTAACACCATACAGAAGCGGATCCATGGAAACAGAGCCCAGCAGCGAGCTACACAAGCAAAGCTGTGCTAGACAAGCATGACATTCCCATGATATTCGCGTTAAACCCTTTCTTGCGTTTGAACCATGTAACTACGAACTACTTTTGGAAACTTATATGTCTAAGCAAACTTGACGAACTCTCACGCAACCAAGAACTCCAACCAGCCCTGACACACCAATGCAGCCCAGCCCCAACATCTGAGATGCGTACCTGCAGCGCAGGTAGCAGGCAGACATGACCGGTGAAATTTACATAAACAAATCATCCTGACAAGTATATATTATTCAGTAAATATATAATTATATAATACAGTAAATATATCATACAGTTAACACAGACCCAACCCCCCCAACCCCAAATACGTTCTTCGCGTACCATCAACATCGAAAGCAAGTGCACACACACTGCCCCCAAGACCTTCTGAGCGTAGCAACCCCCCCCCCAACCCCAGATGATCAGCGTAACATCATCAGCGTAACATGAATGTTAACATCCCACCCCCCCCAACCCCAGATGATCAGCGTAACATCATCAGCGTAACATGAACGTTAACATCCCACCCCACCCCTCCCCAACCCCAGATGATCAGCGTAACATCATCAGCGTAACATGAACGTTAACATCCCACCCCCCCCCACCCCAACCCCAGATGATCAGCGTAACATCATCAGCGTAACATGAACGTTAACATCCCACCCCACCCCAACCCCAGATGATCAGCGTAACATCATCAGCGTAACCGTTAACATCCCACCCCCCCCACCCCAACCCCAGATGATCAGCGTAACATCATCAGCGTAACATGAACGTTAACATCCCACCCCACCCCTCCCCAACCCCAGATGATCAGCGTAACATCATCAGCGTAACATGAACGTTAACATCCCACCCCACCCCTCCCCAACCCCAGATGATCAGCGTAACATCATCAGCGTAACATGAACGTTAACATCCCACCCCACCCCACCCCAACCCCAGATGATCAGCGTAACATCATCAGCGTAACATGAACGTTGACATCCCACCCCACCCCCCCCAACCCCAAAAGCAACCCAGTAAAAACGGGGCTAACCCCCCCCGTCCAGCCAACATGATGCAACATGTGATTTTGCTGTAGTTTTTTCTTGTCAGAGAGAATCTAAACCAAACTTCAAAGTCCTGTCGCTGAGAAACTCCATGAAACTCCATGAAGCTGCATGAAACTCCTGGTCCCGGTGTGTCTAGGGACATGCCAGTGACATGCCAGGAAGTGGATGACAGCACGGAGACAGCCAGCGAACTGCCTTCGCCTCAACCTCCAGAGGGATTCACCAGTGACATAAACGACAGACGCTGACAACTGTACAATATTGTACATTTGTACATTGAATTGATAGTACAGGTATCAACGGAAGATCAGTGTGATGTGTGGTGATGGTGGCCCGGCTCAGGGCTCGGATGTTTGATCTCCTAGACGCTGATAAGAGCGGCAGCATCTCCAAGTTCGAAATGTTCGAAGCCGTGAAGGCAATGGCGGTCGTAACTGCGGCACAGCTCGGCATTGCCCTTCTTCCCCATATCTGCCGTATCACCGAGAACACGTATACAAATCAGTTGAGATGATGAAATGTTTGGATTTGGGCATGCAAAAAAAATGACTGGTGCGTTGATTCTGAGTCAAATCTGTTGAACTTTGGAGGAGAAGGAGGAAGTGGCAACTTTCCTGCTGCCCCATCTTGACGGCGTCTTGGATGAGTGGTTAAGTTTTGGCTGTGGCTTCTTGTCAGTCTCAATCCAGCCAAATTTCAACTGGGGGAGTGTTGAATACCATTTAGTCAAAACCTCAAATGTTTCTCAACAGAGGTCCACCCACTTTTGCAGATGTTGGAATGGATAAGTATGGTTGCTTAGGTGCTCAAGCTATGGAAAGTGAAGAGGCTTTCAACACCATTGATCGCCTCTTTCAGGCCTGGGCGAACTGTCTATCTATTCCCTACATTCCCCACTACATTCATCTACATTCACAGACACTCCCGTACATCCCCTCCATTTTGCCTCGCAAGCGCATGCAGCGCTCAGAACATTGCCTGTGGCAAAAAGCGCATCGAATTTGCCGATTTTGAGAAATACTTCAAGGTGAAGGCCCGACATCAGAGTTGTCCCTTCGCAAATTTATCATGATTTTTGATTCAACGCTCCAGCACGTCAAAGCCGTCAAAAATGGAACATCACTAAACTCACTAAACATCAGAGTTATATAATGTTATTCAAAGCCAAATCATACAACATCTGCTCCTTGGATCTGAATGATTTTTGAAGTGACCATTTTCTATGATGACCTCGTGCCATCCTTGCCAGTTCAATAGCATCCCGCAGCTCAGTGCAGCGGACCGGGCTGAGACAAAGGTTTTGGTCATTGGACCAGGCGAGAGTTAAGATCAACTTTCAGGAAACTTAGTGTAGAGATGTTTCGAGGTGTTTCGAGGTGCATCGGTGTACCATGGTATGAACATGTGAGGTTTCCTATCCATGCAAACAAAGCTTGGAGTGAGACTGCATCACCGCATATCACGGCATGTTCCTGTTGTAGGCTTTGGGCAGATGCTCAATCCTCGCCAGAGTGCGATGATCCAAGATGCTGGCTACCAGGCAGGGCTTGTGTAGATGCTCCTTGATGCTCCTTGTATGTCTTTGTCTCTGACAGCACTCGTGATGCTGTTGCACATTCCTTCGTTTGCTTTTTTCAAGGCACCTCAATGGGTTATTCAAGGCACCTGTTTTGTTTCAGGTGAACTTTTTCCACGGCATCCCAAACCCGGAGATGAGAACCTTTGATGCAGCTCCTTATCTAGAGAAGATCAAGGCTTGGAGCTGTCGATTCCACTGGGCATTCCATGGCCATGTGCCTTTAGACTTTAGACCACATGGTTGAGAGACTTGCAGAGCATTCCAGGCAGAGATCGATGTATTTCAGCCACACGTGGTAGCATCGGCTTCAAAAGGAGGCTGGATAGGATCTTCCTGATTTGTGTTGCATTTGTTGGCCTCAACATCCTCACCTGGATTGCACTTCGAAGATCTTTGAAGTATGTTGCAACAATGTTGCACCTCTTTTCGGGTTCATGAGTTTCTCACCTGAATTTCGCAGCCCTTGTGGAAGGAATCTACCTACTTGGACTGTGGGAGGCCAGGAGAAAAGCCGAGACTGGGCCATTTGGGCGAGTTAGCTAGAGCAGCTTTTCTTCCCTTCCTACATTGAACCCATTAAAAGTCAAGAAAAAGAGCAGGTTGCCTTTGCGTCGAAGCATCACTTATGGTAAATGTATGTAAATGTCAGACTGTTGACAGATGATCTCTCTCTCTCTCTCTTTCTCTGTCTACTTCTCTTTATCGTTCCATTTTTTTAAACTCTGCAAATTGGCTCTACAATCAAAACAAGTGGTATCCCATTCACGCTCCATCAGTAGCCCTGGATTTAGCTTCAAGCGGCATGCCAGACATGTCGCAACTGGCAGGCTGGGTACTGGCGAGGACCCAGTTTGCTCTTGAATGCTCATCCTCGCTGCAAAGAGTTGCCACAGGACATCCGTGTTTGCATCAAAGACTCGAATTTTGCGTTTTAAACATCCGACATCAGGTCGAGTCAGTTGACACCAGGTCACACCATGTCATGTCACATGGCCACCAAGTTTGCACCAAACCCGGTCTTGAAAGTTGGTGTCTTCGAGAACGCTCAGTACCGCGTACCAATGATGTTCATGGGCGCTAGTTCCCCTCCTTCGTAGACTATGATCCAATGGGCATTTCCATGCATTGCGTCATCTCTGATGCGCAGGGTGTGCCTGTGGTAGTGGCACATGGAAGCAACGATGAAGACGCAACCTTGGTCAATCAGTCACATCTGAGCGACGTTAAGAGAGCCCCAGACTGATCAGGTGAGCTTGCAAAACTCAAGTCCAAGCCATACCAGTTACCAAGCTCTTGAAATCTCACAAGGACTACCTTAGCAATATGCTCGAATACAAGGAGCGGCAATTCGCACCAGGTCACCAGAACATCCAGAACATCAAAAGACTTAAAATCTGTTTCACTCGTATGATGTATTGAATTGTATTGAGGTCTATCCCACGACCCGTGACCACCTTGAAAAGCTCATTGCCACGGGCACGGAGAATATGTGCTTCTTGTGACCCAAACAGTTCGAGTTGCCGAACATTTGAGCATTTTGACCTTCGATGCTGTCCTCATTGAAAGCCTTTAGGCATCTTTAGGCTATTTCAGGTCATTTTATCTCAAATCTTTGTTTTGAAAAACTCTGTCTGTCAGTAGCTTAGTTTCTAACCTCCAGTGATTCATGTGCTCAGTCAGCCCTGCTCGTACCTCAACTTGTGATGCTTCTTTGATGAACTGGACGCGTGCGGCGTGGGAGGGTATAGCTGCCGTTCAGGTACCATACCGCCGACAGTGGGCGGTTGCCTACCAAGCACCTGACGCGCAAAGGCGACAAGCACAACATGGAGTGGCATCCTCAATTAGAAAGCCATTCATAGAGATGAGTGCTGATGAACATGTAGGAGCACTGTGGGAAATGTGAAACATTGTGAAACGCCAAGAAAAGAACATGGCGTGTACTGCTTGGTCATTTCATTCCATCCATCAATCCATCAGATTGCCTTCACCTCAACGTCTTTATTCCAGTCTCATTTGTGTCCATTTGGGTTTGTCCAATTATTAGGGTACTCAACAATCCACAATCGTTTATGCTCATTTCCTTGTCAACATGGCTATTGGATGCTATTTGATGCTATTTGTATACTATACCATACTATACCCTTTTGAAAGGACTAAGCCCTATACCGCCTATAGCCTTTCTAAAGGACTGTCCGGCATTTGATTCGAAGTTCGTCAGAAGTTTCACGGAACGTCCTTAGGTCCCTATTGGTGCGTGACATGTTGCCACGTTTGATCGATGCGACTCTATGTCCAGGGGGTCCCGAGGCGACCTGCCGTTGGGGATGTTGATCTTGATGCCTTCTATGTTTCTATAGTATTCTATAGCTACATAATATAATATATAATTATGTATTAATATATGCATACATTATACAGTATGAATATATGCATACATTTTGTAATTCGCACATGAATCTACAAAAATCCTGTGGTGATATACATCAACTAGAATCCTGTGGTCAAATATGCATGTTAGAACCTTGCTACTTTCATGCATTCAATCACTTGGCAATTCAATGCATTACCTTGAACGTATCCGTACTTGGCTGCAACTCAGCCACACTGAAACTTGGCTAGGCAACTGGACAGGGAGGGAGGGACACTGACCCGCGGTTAGGGTTAGCCGCTTAGCGGCTTAGCCAATGGCAAAGTTACACCTGCAGGCCACAAGCCGGAGGGATTGCGGAAACGATGGGCCATACCCTTAACTGATGCAACGGGTGACAGTGTTCGGCTTCAAATTTCTACCACTTTGTCAAACTCCGCTGGCTGAGGCGACGAGTGGAGTAGATGAGCAGAAACTTTTTGAGGCTGATGGAGCAGAATCTTTCGGTGCATACCGCAGAAAGTCCAAAAGGTTTGAAGTATTTGGATAGTTTTGGATAGTCGTGGACAGCCTAAACGTCAGAAGGAAATGAAGCTGGACACAGTCTTTGTATGTCTTTGTGGATTTTGTGGAGCGGTGTGCAGGTCCCAAAGGGAAGTGAGGAATGGACGACCGTCGAGACAATTTTCTGGGCGGAACCGAAGGAGGGTAGTGAAGCTTCAAGAATCAGGGATGTTGCTGGTTTTGTATGGTTTTGTAGGAGTGTTCTGAATTCTCAGAGCGTTTCTCCCTTTTGAAGTCGTTTCCACCTCACTGTCCGTCTCCTTTTCCTCAACAGATCAGCCACACCTTTCACACCATTTTTTTTTTCATCCCGTTTCATTCTTTTCAGCGTCGTAAATATTGGATGTGCTGACAGGAGACTCCGGTCTATGGGGTCCAGGCCTCGCAGCTGGGCTGTTACTACACCACCAGAGTTTGCAGATAAATGCCGTCGCTCACCATTTGCGAAGTCGGTTCCACAAACTGATTTCAAGTGACTACACTGATTCCGGTTGGGCCTCATTTCAGTTTTCATATGGTTCTTTCTACTTTGTGAACCGCAGATGCAAGAGTTCTCCCTCCCTGACTAAACAGTGGTGCTAAAATGCTGCCTCTCCCTAGTTGACAGAGCAGCACTTTTGTGTCCGTGCTTGTTGCACAGGGCAATTGGGACAAAGTGCAACTGCCTCAGCACGGGGACTTGCAACGATGGCAGATGACAGATACGGTGTGATTCCATGGCTGTGATGCAAACCAGCAATTCTTTCACGTCGTGCTGATCGACACTGTGCATGTTAAGATCTTTCACGCCAAACCTTTGCAGATGATTACAGGTCTTGATCATATTTTGTTATATGTTGTTATCCCATAAAATTAATTAAAATGATATAAAAATGCCATTGCCATTGATCATCACGATGATTTGGCTGCAGCTCGCTGGAGCTCATGCAGCCAGGCAGCTCCGCAACATCCAACGGGTCGAAAACCTGGCGCAGTTGGAAGGATGCGCCAAACCGTCCGGGTCGCACGGTTCAGATTTTGCTCCGTCGAGGCATTTTTTTACGCGCCAATTTTCTTTGGAAATGCTACTGTTGATGTTTCCACTGAAGCGCATATATGGCAAAACGCTTGCTTGTTTCCAAATGAGAAATTTAACTGTCGTCTTGCAGACACTCTTTAGGTCGTCAAAGCTATGCATGTCCCATCCCAGCAGTTTAGCCAGTTTGAGCCACAGGTATTTTGAGTCTTTGGGCCGGAATATTGAAGAACAGGCTGACTGTCAGACTCGAATTGAGATTTGCTGGTTTTGGCGAGGGCACAAAAGTGAGATCAAAACAGAAACCACTTGGGGATTTAATCCTGATGGTGTGGCTGCCGTCTTGCAGCCACCAAGAAACCACACGGTATCCCAAACATAACTGAAAGCGGACTTGGTGCAAAAATGAGAATCTGCTGCAGGGCGTTGAGTTCGATCCGGAGCTGCACACGCAGGGCGACCCAATGACCCAGGTCCAAGGAATTGTACTATTGAAATCTATTGAATGCATGCGGAATCCGGCTTCTGTCATTGGGGCTGGCTCACTGAATTGGATCGAAGCCTCTGAAGAGACAGAGCTTCTTCCTACATTTCCCGCGTGTTTTCAAAATGCCAGCTGGTTGGCAGTTAGTAAACCACCTGGAACATCCTAAAGTGATGGGCACGCAAAGGTTTTTCAGAAAGGGCCAAGAGACCCTGGTCAAGAAGATTTGCTGCCATCGCTGATGTAATGAACAAATGTCTTCAGCCGAAGAGTTCAAGATCTCCCAACATCAACAGTCATCGTTCTCCTGCTTCACAAAGGCTGCAATGTCGAAGAACAAGGTTCAACATGGTTCAACAATGACACAAAAGAGGGCACTACATTATGATCACCTCATTTATATGCATTTCTAAGGTGATGGACAACGAGCCCTTTGAACCAACTTGCCCAGTCTTCTTGAAACATTTGATGCCCAAGCATTCATGTACATATAATCATATAATATTGCATTGTAATTAATATGCATAATATACATATATATATATTATATATATTATATATATAATCTATATATATAATATACATATATATATATATTATATATGTATATTATATATAATATATATATAATATACATATATATATATAATATGTAGATATATACACACACATTATACATCATTATACACAGCTATACTAGTTCAGATCCTGATCCATTTGCGGTTTGTCAAAATGCCCCCAGGTCTTGGGCCTTCCATGGTGGTCTCAGTGAGAATCTGGAGCTTGCGCCCAAAATCGACGGGAGCGGTCGGGACGAGGTCGTGACTTGTCCGTAGACCTGTAACATCCACAAACTGGGTATGGATCAATACCTATACATACCATTTTTAGTGGGATGAACATCCATTTACCAGCTATTTTGAGGTTCACCAGGGGTACAAGGTTTTGACACACTGCCAACTCATAAAAACGCTTGAAAGTATTTGAAAGTGGTAAACATACACAAACTCAAATAGATCTGATTGAGATGATCTGAATGATTCTGAATGATTCTGAATGATTCTGAATTGCAGACGCTTGTTCAAATACTGGGGGTGGCACTCAGATATACTGGTATGCCATGGTATGCCATTGCATGTGTTTTTTTCTCGTGTGCGTACACGATTGAACTCTACAGGTTCCGAATTGCGGTCTTGCTTCGATGATCCAGATTTTAGCTGTTCAGATCTGTAAACTCCGAGCAGCTAAGGTCCATTGTGAGCTGCAGAATGGCTGGCTTTCAGCCGCTAGCTGCCGGTGAGAAACTCATTCCCGATAGGAATTCAGCTACTGTGCAAGCATTTGCAAGCGCTTTCTGGTGGCAATTTGTGTCAGTGTTTGCTTCATGCAATACTTTTGCCCTGCGCTTTCATCCTGAGCCCTCCTGAAATTATATAATCCTTGATCAGAGCTTATTCTCCGCTTCCAAGGCTCTCGGGGAAGCCTCGTCTGGGGATCTGGCACATACTTTGCAAGAGAAGCAAGGCACGCAAATCACTGTCAAAGCAAATCAATTCCTTTGATATGTGAGTGGACTATGTCAACCTTTTCATTCAACGTGTACATTTGCACGAATGAAACTTTATTCATAGTCACGAGAGAAAGAAGTACAAACACATACAAACGCATACAAACTGAAGATGCGTTTTCCTTCACGGGTGCTTGCATCATTTTGCATCATGAAAAATCGTATGGCCGTGCCCCGAGATTTGTGCTTCCGAAGCCATTGGCCCACAGCATCGGCCCGTTCGGCGCTGTTGGCCGGTGGAGAAGATTCAGAGAGTGGACAGAGAGTGGACAGAGAGTGGACAGAGTGGACAGAGTGGACAGAGGCGCTACAGAGAAGCGATGCCGCCGGCACCTCCAGAGCCGGGGAAGCCCCCTCAGCGGCTGCAAGATCCGTTGCAGGATCGACCCATCAAAGAGGTGCCGTTGCCACCTGCTCAGCTTCTCACAGCTGACACCTTCTACGAGAAAAATGGTGAGCCCAACATGCCAGTCCTCATGGAGCATTTGATCTTGGAAGGAGCTTTGTCTCAAGAGCTCTTGCTGGACATCATCAGCAAAGCCTCAGATCTGTTTAAGGATGAGCCAAATCTCTTGAAGCTCAATGACCCCATCACAGTGGTAGGTGACATCCACGGTCAATACTATGACCTTGTGAAGCTCCTTGAGGTCGGTGGCCAACCGGGTGACACCCAATACATCTTCTTGGGGGACTACGTAGATCGCGGCTCCTTCTCGGTGGAGGTTGTGGCGGTCCTGTTTTCGTTGAAGATCAAGTATCCAAAACAGGTGCGGATGCTACGAGGAAATCACGAGTGTCGACAAATGACCTCCTTTTTCAATTTTCGTGAGGAGTGTGAATACAAGTATGACATCGGAGTCTACAATGCCTTTATGGACTCCTTTGATAATCTCCCCTTGGCAGCCACCATCAACGGCAAGTTTCTATGTGTCCATGGTGGGCTCTCACCCGATCTTGGCAATGTCAAGGCTATCACAAAGATCAACCGCTTCACTGAGCCACCCAAGGAGGGTCTCTTATGTGATTTGCTTTGGTCAGACCCCTTAGAGCCGAAGGAGGGTGAACAGCGGCCTACTGTGAAGAAAGGAGGACCACCTTTCATCCCCAACGAGGTTCGTGGCTGCTCATACTTCTACAGTTTTGACGGAGCCACAACCTTCCTGAAGAAGAACAACTTGCTGTCCATTATCCGGGCCCATGAGGCACAGCTAGAGGGCTATAAGATGCACAAAACCAATCCAAGCACAGGCTTTCCCCTTGTCATCACCATTTTCTCTGCTCCGAACTACTGCGATGTCTACAACAACAAGGGTGCCATTCTCAAGTTCGACAACAGCACCCTGAACATCTTGCAGTTTAATTGCTCTCCTCATCCGTATCATCTCCCGAACTTCATGGACGTTTTCCAGTGGAGTATGCCTTTTGTCATCGAAAAGGTGACTGAGATGCTCTACTACATCCTGCAGCCTGCAGCGGGCACAGATGAAGCGGAAGAGGATGCCTTGTCTCCGCTTCCTGACACCAGCAATTGGGTGACACACAGAGCATCTCTGACTGATGACCAGAACCAGACAGTCGACATGGCAACTCGATTGGCTGCATTGATTGCCAATGAAAATGCAAAAGCACGAGAATCGGAAGGAAAGAAGATCGATCCAGAGGTGCGTGACAGGATGCGCAAGAAGGTGAGATCAATTGCCAGGATGGCCCGCATGTTCAAGACATTGCGGCAGGAAAATGAGACAGTCGTTCGACTGAAAGGTGTTTGTCCAGGCCACAAATTGGCCCCAGGTCTTCTCTTGGCCGGAAAGGAGCGTCTGACCTCCGAGCTCGAGATGTTCACTCATGCCCAAGGTATTGATCTCGTGAATGAGAAGCGCCCTGAGGAGGCGTCCGGAAAAGTCAACATTCCTACAGACTTCAGAAATGATATGAGTGACGGCGAGACAAGTCCCTGAAGACCTGGAAGACCTGGAAGACCTGGGACCTCCAAAAGCCTAGTGCAACTGTGAACCGTCCTGAGGCCACCCAGTTGGTCTTTGGGCTTCACCGTCAGCTGAGCGGGAAATTCGTTGGGACACTTTGTCCAGTAAAAGTAAAGGCTAAAGTCAGCTAAGTGGGTAGCACTTGGCAGACAAAGGGCTGTGCCACGGCTGAGCCCTGCGGGATCGGCACGATCGGTATGCCCTGCACTGACACGATGTTTCACCCAGACGAAGGCCTTTTGCAGAATCACGAAAATGGATGTCCCTGGATGTGCCTGCTTTGTCCTGCTTTAGTGCTTGTCAGAAGGAATATAAGGAATGGTAACGATGTTGAGCACGACCTTGCTCAAGTCAATTGAAACACAAACTGAAATGTCTTGAAAGGAATGGAATGATTGAAAAGCAGAACTGTTGCATCATGCTAATGCAAAGTCTGTCTGCTGTCTGAAGGTTTGAGTTAACACTGACTTCAGGTATGTGTCAGAGGGCGGTTTCTGTGGCAAGCCAAATCCAGATGGTACAAGACAGATGCTGCTGCACGGGACCAAGGGGCTTTCCGCCAAGGGCAGAGCACTCCAGTGCCGGTTCACCAAATTCCGAAGCGACTTTGCGGTTGCTGTTTCATCACAGTGTTTCACAGTGTTTCTTTTGAATCTTCGATCGCACTGTTTGCAGTGTCACTTGGATCAATTCGTTTTTTTTTGTTCGAATGTTCTTGGCACTTTTTGTCGTTTGCTCGGCATTTCACAAAACATGACCTGAGGTGCCTGCTGATGACAGGGCTTCCATGCCTTGGAGATCCGCAGCACAAAGGTGTTGGAGTCTCAGAAGGCTCAGAACGTCGAAGTCCACGGGAACTCCATGGCTTCCCAACTTTTCTTCTGGTGGTCACAATGGTCACTGTGTGTCACTTTTTTGGTAGCGGAACATCTTCACATTTGTGTCGAATGTGGAAGGAAACTCGGAAACGCAGGCGTTTTGTCTCAATTGTGAAAATCGCTACCAGATTTGTAAGCTTGAGCAGTTGGAACTTAGCCTATATGCCTATATGCCATATTATGCCAATATGCCATATGCCAATATGCCATATTATGCCAATATAATATTATGCCATCCGTTCTTCTTTTGCTACAATGATGCTACTTGAAGACTTGCTTTGGAACTATTTGCACCTTCAACCAGAGAGCATAGGTTTCGTTCCCAAATGGATTGCGCACAAAACCTCCTTGCAGGACCGTGGTCATCCGTGTTCCACTCATGCCAGTAGTTCGAGTCCCTACATTCACATGTACGATGGTCAAAGCATGGTATATTTTGGTCATCCTACCATCATTAGGGATTCCTTACCATGCGTATATACATCATTAATCATCATTATACATCCCAATTACTGTAATTCAATTATATAATCGATTGATGACCATCCTCTATCAGGAACTAAACCATGTTTTGATATGTTTTGACCATGGCTCACATGTTGAAGGGTTCAGATGCACAGCTGAGGTTTTGCCCTTCAGAAATAAACCACATCGCTACCACTCCTCGGTCGACAGCCTGTCCAGTTCGTGGCCCTGGATGATGCCTTCGGTGAAGCTCTCTGTGTGAAGCAACAGCTGATCAGCTGATCAGAGATATTTGGATCAATACCTATTATATAATACCATTTTTAGTGGGATGAACATCCATAAATCCCAGCTATTTTGATGTTCACCAGGGGTACTATTGGTTTTGACACACTGCCATTTGGTCCTGGAGTCCCAGTGATCCCAGGCCCGGAGATCTTCATCACGCAGCATGCAGGCGAGCCTTCCCTCTTCAAATCCGACGTTTAGCTTCTGGCTGTTTACACATTGACATGTGATAGTTGTGGATCTATTTCGATCTATTTTCCTGCAACTAAGATCGGAAGGCTATTTATGTAATCTTATGTCCAGATGGTATCAATGTGTCAATAATGTTACCTCTTGCAATGCTCATCGAGATTCAGTCGATACTTGTCCCAGGGTTGAGTTGATCCAGAGGTGCCGCGCTGCCGGCTTACCTGATCACGTTCTCTTGAGCTCACACGGACGATGTCGGCGACAGAGATTTTCCAGGGATCCGGACAGGTCGGTGTTCAGAGGATCGCTGAAAAAGAGCTAGCTACTACTGGCTACAGGAGCTACAGTAGCTACAGTAGCACCCTAGACGCTTGTTGCAACGCATGTAGCGTCCCCAGCTTTTGCGCAAAGTGAAATTGTACAGTGAGATTTTGCTCCTGTCTGTCATAGCTGCAGACCGAACTGAGTCTATGGAAGCAACACATGACATCATGACATATGGTGCCAGCCCCATCCCATTGTTGAATGTATTGATAAAGGAAGCTCCTGAGAGGGTTCAAACAGCGCAGGTCTAGGAGGCAGCTGTAACATCTCCAGAAAAGAGTGGCAGAAACACTAAGATGTTGAATATTCTAGCATGCAGCATATTCTAGCAGCATGGCTGCTGTGGCTCAGGGGCAATCTCAAGCATGTTTTTGGATGTGCAGGAATTCGGAAGTGAAGGACCAAGCAGGAAAATGCAGGCATAGTGTTTCGCCCAAAATCATAGAACCATGAAACAGATTTTATTCGACCCGCTGCCCGGCACTTTCGACCAGTTCCTGTTACAGACAGGGGGGCTTCCTGCTGCCTGGGTGGGATGATAGCTCCGAATTGGGCACATCTCGCTTCTTGACAGCTGCTGGGGCTCCTCTGCCAATTTTGGACCGTTTTTGCGACTTCGGCAAAGAAGTTGCTTGACTCGTTCAGGCTGGGTGCAGTCACATCGCTTTGCAGCACCTTTGCCAAAAGGATTCAACTCTAGTGACTAGCAGGTGATTGCACCTGGCACAGGACAGGAGCAAGTTTGATGCGGGATACGGTGCAAACCGCACTCCTGTGCCTTGCAGTCCCTGGCTCTGGTGCTCACAGTCTAAGACTTGTGCAGACAGGCCATCAGTAGAGCCATGTGCGGTATTTGCGCTATCGCTAGATTTCGAAGCCTAGAGACTTCATGGAGAAATATGCCGTTTGCGCTTGCGGTCACTGGTCTGTCCGAAGGTTCTATTGGTTTTAATGGCGAAGAAAGCAGTTGCTCAATGCTGTCTCTATTTCTGGAGCCCATATCAAAGCAAAGCTTGCTATGGATGTGGAGGATAGTCTGGTGTCTTAGTTGCCGATCCATAGTGCAATGGAACAATGGAAGCTGTGACCGGCCTCAGTACTACAATACTCTACAATACTCTACAATACTCTACAATACTCTACAATACTCTACAATACTCTACAATACTCTACAATACTCTACAATATAGATCAATATAGATCAATATATATATAGTATTATATGAATGTATATGATATGTGCATTTGCTTATTCTTTCCTTCGTTCAGTGACTCTCTGGTGGATTCATGGATTCATTCATTGAGTCACCTCCCAATTCATTCCTGCATTCATTCAGTCAGTCATTTGCTCCATTGTCCATACATTCACAATCATTCACATCATTATTCATGCACCCTCGGCACCAGGTGGTCACCAGGTGGTCACCAGGTGGTCACCAGGTGGTCACCAGGCAGTTCTCGCCATGTCTCGCAGCCAGGTCTTGAACTCGAGCTTGGCACTCTGCATATCTCCAGTGGCCATGACAGTCGACAACCTGGCATGTGAAAATTGTGGCAAATCGTGGGGGAGCTTGCGAGAAGAATTCTGGCCATTTTTTCTGTGTCAGTGTTTTGTGGTCTCCAACGCATTTCGGTGGTGTACTCAAGTTGGAGAGTAGTAGAAGCTGAAAGATGCGACTGGAAGTGGACTTGGGCTCTGATAATTTTTCTGTTGTGGAAATGCAGATAAGACTGCAAGAAGTGCTCACTCCGTCTTGGAAAATTCAGCCTTTGGGTCCATGTAGCATGCCGTAAAGTTGCGCGATTCTCAGACCTAAGTCTAGAGTCAGATGAGTCAGTAAATCTTTGTGCACTTCTTGTCATCTTGTTGTTTTTCTAACCCCCTTGGGGAGTGTGAGGTTTCATTCTTGAAGCTCGATAAAAACATATGCCATATGCATGCAGCCTGCAAGCCATGAACAGCTGCCCTGGACATACCACGGGACGAGTGACAGGGACAGCAGCTGCAAAGCCTAGGATATCGCGACAGCAGTTAAGAGCTTTAAGAGAAAGGACAGCAAGGACCATAATGGAAGAAACATGAAGAACCTACTCAGAACATGGACGGTATATTGATGGTATGGTGTAGCAACACCACAAGAATGAGAGGGGGGGGAAGTCCAAATCAGTTCAAGCTACTTGCAGCTATTGCCCTATTACTCAAGACTCGGTTGTTTGTTGCCGTCAAGGCACCACAAATACTCAGCTCAGCTCGACCAGAAGCAGCAAGTGACCAACTGTTCATGGATTTTTGCAAACACACCTGCTCTTGATACGGCTCTTGGATGTTCTTGGTTGTTTTGCAATGTGTCCGTTTGAGTCCTTGGGGACAACTGTTTCAGGAGGAACAATACACAGGAACTCACACACACACAAGAAGTTCAATGAGCAAGCGAAACAACAAGTTCGCAAGGGAGAAAACTCGATAGTGGCAGCTGCTTTGTGGCTGCAGTTGTAGCTGTCGTAGCATGATGTGTTAATCACTTTGCCAGGCGAATGCGTGGCCAGCCACGCACGTGTCAATCGTGCAAGGGGAGGCAGGATGGACTCGACATTTCAACCCAGAAAAGCAGCCAGTAGATTCTGTTGCTTGTAAATTGTAGACAATTTAGACATAGGTGAGTTATATTCCCATATATTCCCCACATTTGCAAAGCTCAGGGTCGACGGAAGTCTGCCTGCAGGTGCCCCTGCCTGCATACGGGCACCAGGTAAGTGCCACAGAAAAGTCCGACAGCAGGAAACGGGAACTTTGCCGAACGGCATTGGATGATGCATGTTTCCACATCGTCATACTTATTGGTGAATCAATGTGATGAGATAAGCGTTAGCCTCTGAAGTTTGAACCCTTTCAAAGAATTCCAATGATTTTGATTTCCCGGTGATATGCCAATATATTCCAATGATATACCCTCTGGTATTTAACATAGCCATGGAAAATCACCATTTTGAATAGGTAAACCATCTATAAATGGACCATTTTCCATGGCTATGTTAAATTACCAGAGGGTATCATTTATAATCATTTATAATCCAGACTTGATTCCGGGCCTAAGGATTTCCTCTTGACCTTCACAGACCCAAGTGGACCTGGCTCCCCACTCCTGGCACGGTGCCCAATTTGGGACCACCAACTGGACCTGACTGGGCGACGATTGGAAGTGATGGCTGGGAAAATGATGGAATGAATATGAATGAATGATGGCTATGGGTCAATACCTATAAAAATACAATTTTTAGTGGGATGAACATCCATAAATCCCAGCTATTTTGATGTTCACCAGGGGTACAAGGTTTTGACACACTGCCATATGAATGAATGATAATAAATGACAATAAATGATAATACATGAATATGAATGATGGAATGTACATGAATGTACCTTAAGATTCGAAATCCATCAACATCCCCTGCCCTGCATGAGATTTTTGGAGCCAGTACTGTGGAGCCTAGTGTGGCAGATTCAGTAGACCCTGTTCTCGAGATCCCAGCTGATTCTGTAGAAGCTGCGTCCGACTAAGGAGGCTCCAACGCAGATCGACCTGCTGCCACGGGTTAGCTTGGAGGTCCACTGTGGGAGTACATTTTTGAAGCATGTGACACCCTTGTGGACGGGCCTCACGCCAGACTCAGGGAATCCAAATGAGATATGCAGCTACACATCAGAGTTGCTTTGCTCACTGATTCAAACTTGCAAAATATCTTCTGTAGGGTGGGAACGGAGCTGCAGAAAGAGATGCATGTACCCTCATCCTTTGCAGCGACAGCTGCGTTCAAGGGCCTTGAATTTCGGCCACACAATGTATCAGGGTAAGTTGCAGCGAACATGTCAAACCGTTTCATTTTATGAATACATTAGATACAAGTTGCTTCTGTTGCTTCTGCAGAATGATCATAGTGGTGCTATGTGGTGCAGCAGGGATCCTTATGGTCAGTGTATGGTCAGTGAGGCCTTAGAACTGGTGCTGATTGCCGCAGGCTGTGACTCCCAGCTGTTTGGTGCTCTCGGAATCCTTGGGACGTGGTGACGATGAGGCCACTGCGAGACGCTGCCGGTTTTGCATCTTTTCACTGTTGACAAACATTGACACCAAGGTATGAAAAGTAAGATGTTTATACCATGTTTTATGAATTTTCATGATTCATTCATGATCTTTTATGCGGCATTGAGGAGCCATGTGTCACTGTCTTGTTTGGATACTCCAGGCAGCTATTAATATCACATCCATTGGTGATTTATTCTCCAGCCCCTCGGAAAGCCAATGTCCATCTCTGAGGCTCCCATTGAGGTGACATTTTCTTTTCAGAGCACCTTGGAGGATGCGGATTGTAAGATTAAGAACATGTCTACATTCTACATGTGTCTACTGTACCAGAGAGACGTGACATTTGATAATATTTGATAATCCTTGGCGTTTGCTGCGCGGCTGTACCATAAAGGCCTCTAACCAGGTCTTTAAAGGATGCTGGGACTATACTTTCGAAAGCATAGCATCCTTTGCCAGATAGCAAAGTTGCAATTGCTGCCTGCGATAGAGGAGACCATGTGGAACAGCCCAAAGATCGAGAAGCTTGTGGCTTGCAGGCGAGCTTGACTTGGCTTGCCTTTTGCTGGAGATGCAAGACTTTCTCATTCTGCACATTTCTGCAAGAGCGTCAACCGGTCATTTCAAGAACACATTGAACACATTGAACACATGTCACTTATCCGACTTCTCCGTCCTGTTGTGACGAGGTTGTACTTGATGCCATTGTCGCCAACTCAGAGAAAAAAGCCAGGGAGATCTGGGAGATCAGCGCCAAATCACGACAGATCCTTGACAATCCTTGACAAGGTACCAATCGGGAGATGCAAGCTGGCAGCAGGCCTCTCAAAACGACAATGTCAAAAAACGATGTCACTAAATAAATGATATAAATGTCACTCGACCTGCCACATCTGCCACTTGATACAGGCAGTAAATATCATATTTGCGCAGAATTTATACAGTGGGAATCAGTGGGAAGAATTTCCTGAGGCTCCCATCGATTGCATGATTCAGATGTGATTCAGGTGTTGGATTTGTTGGGGTTTCGGTTTCGAATGGTTCGAATGGTTCCAATGGTTCGAAGGGCTCAAGTCATGCTGAGATGGCGTCCATCCCAGCTGTGCTCGCTGCTTTGAGGCAAATTGAGTCTCTTGTCAACGATTGACAAATTGACGTGTTTTTCATTGTTTTTCATGTTTTTCCTCTCAGAGCTTGATACACAAGCTGTACCTGCGGGAAACAAAGCTCGCAGTGGTTTACCTGAGCATTTGGAGGCATTTTGGTATTTTTCAGTGTTGTCACCGTGTTGTGACTTGATTCTGCACACTGTTTGTAATTTGGTACCCATCCGACGTTCTACACACGCAATAATACTGTACGAGTATAATGCAGTAGAAGGACAGTGAGGTTCTCCTTCAATCGAAGCGAAAACCGTCTGAAAATGTCTGAAATCTGTTGACCAAGGTTTCCAGACAAAGAGGCAGTTTGGAATTTGTTTCAGAACCTTGGCCGGAAACATCAGAAGAAGTTCCCTGGCTACAAGTTTCTTCATCGTGGAGGCCTCTCCTCACCATATGTGCGATATGTAACAGATGCAGATGTGATTTTTAACAACCAGAACGGAGTCCTGGTGACCGTGCAGGATTTCGATGTTCTTAGCAGCCTTGCGCTGCAGTTGTTCGACCGTAGTATTTATGCTGCGCGAATTGCCCGAGACGGAGCGGAACTTCTGGATGAAGAGATCAATGATTTGAGAGCAGTCCGATCTGTGGTTGAACAAGGCTGTGATGTGGCAACCTTGGTAGGTATCTTCACACTACGGAATGGTTGGTGCGTGCCTGTGGATTTGACTTTACAATGTGGTGAATCAGATATGGCAAAGGACGAAAGAATCAATCGTATCCTTGGCAACTTGGAGAACCTGGACTTTGCAAAGGTGATCTCTCGAATTCGTGCTATTCTGCCGAAGAACGACAAAGCCGAATTTGCTGAAGCCTGGAACAGCTCAGGTGGTGCCTTGCGGTTCTTGGTAAAGCAAATCCACATCAGCAATTACATGTCAGAGGCACAGCAGTATCAATATTTGCGTCTCTTGGCAATACAATGTTTTTTATTCCTCCTCTAAAATCTAAATCCGTGCTTTCAGTTTTTATTTCGTCATACTGTATCAGCTCAACATGCACCTGGCCAAGCTCAGGCAACTACCTGCATCTTTTCGGAGCCCACCCAGATGATTGGGCCAATGTAGCGGAAGTGGAAATGCAGCGCCGTGCTTTAACCCACCTAGAATCATACAAGTCTTTGATTCAACGTGCCACCGGCGAGAGGAGAAATGAGGTTTGGTTTGCTTTCGAAGAAGCGAAGCAACAGTTTCAGGAGGACCACCATGGGCGACACGGTCCCATTAGCTCCACACAGTCGCAAGGTCGGATGGGACCTCGGAAGGGATCTGGAAAAGGCTACTGGTAGATCTGGTAGTGGCAAAAGATGGCAAAAGGCCTAAGAGTCTGCCGTCCACAAGCCGCACATTGCCAAAAAGAAGGGTGCAAACCCAGCGGCTGGTACTGGTCAACTTGAAGAAATATCAAACATCTCTGCACAAATGCAAATACTACAGAATTAATATGAATTAATTGCTCCGCTTGAGGTCAAGTTTACGAGTTTGAGTGACTTGCCAAGCGGTGGCCCCTTGCCCCCACTCGGCATTTGTGCAGCTCGCCATCCCATGCAGGTGGTTACTACATCGGTCCATTGGATAAAGCCGGACAAGCTCAGTGGGGAGATGTGGGGAGATGCGGGGAGTCCACGGAAGCCTCGGGTGACCTGTGTGCAGGATCATCGCCAACTCATTCCATTGTTTTTGTCCAACTGCCAGGTGAGGGTCTCTGAGATGCCTTCAACCCAGCTCGTCCTCCACCTCCCCCCTCAGACTCTGCCTTCAACCCCGAGCTCCAGAGCTCAGTGGGCACTGCGGGACCTCGACGGCGCACTGCCGGACCTCAACGCGAGCGCAAGATGTCACGTAGAATGGCAGAAAGAATGACGGATAGAATGCCAAAAGAGACGTCAGCTAGAATGCCAGGTTGAATGCCAGAATAATATGCCAGGGCGGGGACTACTCGAAGTAAAACATTTTTTGAAAAAGATTCTATGATCATTCTGAGCCACTTGAAGCTTTCAAGATCTCTCAGCACAAGTCATGCAATCAACTCAGCTGCAAAGAGTTGTGCAAAAGAGAGATGAACAACATGTTCAATCCAGTCCCTGCTTGTCACAAAGCCAGGCCCGGTCGCGTTCTGTGCGTGAATGCACACCAGCGCTGGATTGAAGAATATGGGCATCTCTCAGACATCCAGGTGGTCTGGGTGAAATAGACAGTTTCGCGAGTTAACATACATGACACATCAGGATACAGGAATGATCCCCAAGACATTTGAACAACGGTCTCCCAGTGGCCTACTCCACCCATCTCTACCCTAGGCCCTAGCTTGCCTTGTAGGCTGCTCCACCAATTTTTGATGCACATCTATTAAACAGAAAACATGTGATCACACATTGTGGCACTCCGATGGCACCTCATTGCCATGCAACAGTCCAAACTGGATGATGCACCGAGTCCTAATCTTGTGTAATCTAAAGACTGTTCAGAATGCTTTGGCCTTTGGCCTTTGAATTGATTTAGAGGGCACGTGTGTATTGTTTTTTCTTGTCTTGAAGTTGTAGCAGTGTTACGTTGGTATAGTATGGTATAGTATAGACATGATTTCACTGATTTCACTCCTTTTGTCAAATGAACGTTTTTCAGCCCTTTCAAGAGACATCTGTGACATTTTGATGCAACTCCCAGGTGGGCGGAGGTCACCTTTTTGACCGTCGATCAGAGCTTCAAATTGACCTCATCACTTTGTCGTCAATCCCACAGGCGTCCGCGGCGTTGTCGTCAATCACATGATGAAATCATATGAAATCATTAAATGTTTCTGGGAAGGCAGGGACAGGGACGCCAACAATAGGCCAATGATCTTAATTTCCATAGAGTCCCGTCTCGGATCCAAATCTCAATTCTCTGTTTTCAAACTACACAATGCTTATTGTACAGACACAGGCTTTCCCCATAGCCTTCCAGGTAGAAACAGATGCTTGTTGGGGTTTGAAATATCATTGCATGGAATCGCAGGATTCAGAAGTCTACTGTGTATAATATATATATATATATAATGTATATATATATATATATTAACCCATGGTATATATAAAGATACAAACCAGAGACAATACTTCGACCTTCATTGCTGACATTTGTATTGACAGAATTACTGTACCAGTAGGATTAAGTGTTTTGCAGCAAAGCAACACGCAACAGAGGGGATTTTTGGGTTCTTTGCAAAACTACCATGGCGGTTGCATCGGTTGCATGGCTGTCTGCAATGCAGGTACTCTCCGATAAAGTCTATCTGCCGTTGGTTAGGAAGCCAAACATTGCCGAGGTGGACTCCGGGAGTTCCAGTGAGTCACAGTGAGTCACAGTGAAGCCACAGTGAGTTCTCCACTTGAGTTCTCAGAGAGTGTGGGCCAGACACAAATCTTTGGCACAAATCTAGTGACTGTATGTGACTGTAGTGATAGTGGTTTTGTGAGCCCTGAATAAACATCAGGTTGATTTCAGCCTCGTAGGCATCACCATGAATTGTGTTTTCTCCAGAAAAACGGTGGTTTTGCAGAGCTTTTTTGGTGGATCCGGGCCTAAAGGGCCTAGTCTGTCCAGCCTGAGATGATGAGAATCCAATAGAAATCAACAGAATCATCTACATTTTAAGGAAAATTCATTTTAATCTAATGATTAGTCAATATAATCCATTTGTAGATGAAATCATCAATGATTAGTCAATAGAATCCATTTAAGATCAATAAATTTCCACCATTTTCCTCAGATGTTCACCTGGCATTATTCCTATCCCTGCAGGTCAATCCAAAGACCATTCAGATCGCCCGGAGTGCCACGGCTTTGCCACATTTGCGACTCACAGGGACAGGCGGACTCGACCGTCCTGAGTTGACTTTGCTGTAGATTGGTGAGGTGTATTCCACCTGAAGTTCTGAAGGAGTGAAGATACAGTCAGTAAGTCATGATAAATCATGATAAGTCCATATTAAAGTCCTATAAAATTCTATAAGACATTATAAAACTGCAGTGAGAAGCTCTTCAGCCTTCAGCAGACGTCTTGAAGTCACCAATGACTTGAGGGCGCCCTCAAGCTCTGTTAGGCATCCACACAGGCCTCGATGGGTGCTGCACTATCTCTACAGTCAGAGCCCCAGTGGCTCTGCGCTACGGAGACTCAGAGGCTATGGAAGATTCTGTTCTCTCAAGCGATGACAGCGAAATCCATGAAAACATATAGCCGGATTGAAGTTTCAGATGCTTTAGATTCTTCGACATGCTTTGCAGCCTCGTAAGAAGCACAGCAAGGACCAAGCTGTCGGTTCTCCCAAAGAAGATCGACTCAAGGTGCATTCAGAATTGCACTGGCGATGCGTTGATTTGTCGATGCGTTGACTTGTGGTTGCGCATCATTAACCATATAATAACCATAGATTGACCATTCTTAACAGTATATTAACCACATATAACCATCAATTTTCATTCAGCGAGTCCAGGTCTTGACGCGACCTACCTGGCTGTATCGTTGGCCTGGTGTACAGAGCTCGGTGGTTCATCGACAGCTGACATGTCGTGACAGCGGAAAAATGGGGTCGACAATATGATCTGGTTATATCATGGCTAATATCTGGCTATTGTTGCTACCAAGACCGAAGATGTCAAATAGTATGGATGGATATGGTTCACATTTTTCTTGTGCCTGGACACTGGAGCAAGGATGTGATGAACTCAACTGTTTCCCAGCATCATTTTCCGGCATTGCTCGGAACAAGTAAGGTATATGAGTGTCAGTTTAAGTTTCGCGACTACTGCAACAGTCTAGCCAAAGATCAAACTTTGAAGATATTACCATACTAGCAGATCTAGCAGGAACGCCAACGCCATGGCGTGTGAAAGACTTGGCATGGACAGGAAGCCAATACTTTGGAGCTCCACCAACTGGGAACTGTTTTTTGCCATTCGAGGCCCCTCCCAAAAGTTGGCGTCGTACTGCGAAAGCCGAAGGCACTGACCAATGATATGCATATCAGATGGTTTCTTCTGTACTCCCTTCATCAAGCAAAACCGCAAACTGTTTCAAATAGATTCAACCAATTAGGTAGTTTTCCGTGGAAGGTATTCGCACTGGCAAAAAGGCAGATTAGGATGATGGGAGTTTATGAAGACTTGAAACACTTTACACTGCTTCTGCTTCCAGAAACTGATCACACAATTGCTCCACCACTTCTTTTCAAACCAAGCGTCTTCTTTCATGAGGGTTTGCACGGAGTTGTAGAAAAGACACTAGTCACTAGATCATATAAGAAGCAGCTTACAGGCCCCTTCTCAGCCCGATGCGAGATGCCTTCTGACGTGGTGGTCATGGCCTTACTTTCCCTGTCGGACTGGGAGATGTTTTGACCGTTTCCCAAGGCGCCAAAGTTGTAGAAATAACCTCAGAACCGCACGCATATGCACAGATATTCTGATGCGCATATGTTTAGCATTTTCTGGCAATACTCTGCCTAAGGTCGTTTCTCTTCTGCAAAAGCCATTTTGTGTCAAACAACCTGTTGACCAAGATTGAATGCCCCAACATTGTCAAGCTCTGCAATTCACAGACTTAGGAGTCTACCTTTCAATATTTATTCAACTTGGTCTGACGAGGATTCAATTTAGGATGAATGCTGCCTGTGATGAGTTGTCATTTCCTGAAGTGACCAATTCTGACTGCCTTTCTCAGTGAAACGATGATGATTGCTGACATTTTCACTGAGGAGATGGTTGGCCGCAGGTTGTTTGTGACCTATTCGCCCAACTGCCATCAGTTTCCAGTACAAGGCAGATTGATACACTGTGTCTGACTTGTGAGAAGTGGTAGGTACATGAATAGATGAATGATGATGAATGCATTCGTTCATACAAGCTCTTGCATGATCATGCATGTAACATAATTTCAATCTGACTTCCCATATCTCTTGTGCAATATTTGTGGCCATGCAGCATGCAGCATTCGAATGGCCACAAGCCATAGAAAGATACTCCGCTCCCTTCAACTAAGACAGACCTGCCATTCAGAATTTAGACTATTCTCCTCTTCGGATGAGCGATTCTCAGGGTCTATGTTGGTGGGGGAGTGCTATGTCTTAGATCCATTTTTGAAGGTCTCCGATATTTCTTGTTGCGGCGACAACTTTTTTTGCGGCACAGGTCATTGGGTGGACCTGGTTGTTGCACCGACCATCCAGCGGATTTGGCCTTCCGAGGCCGAGAATTCAGAGGAAATCTGAAGCATCAAGCTCCCAAACAGCTGTGCATGTGGTGCTCAACAGATGAGCAAATCAGTATTGAACAACATCCAATTTGTTGAAGATAGTTTTCTGGTTATAGTTGAACTAGTCGGAGAGTGCTGGTCTTCTTAAGTTCTCTGCTCAGAGCCTGACCAAATTAGAGCAACATTCCCAAATGTGGCCTTTTTATAAAGATATTCAGTGCCTACTTGTATTGTATGACATTTCATTTCGGCCAGCCATGGAACATGTGCAGGTGATTTTTGACGCAACTCAACCAACCAGGGTCACTGCGACTGGAATAGGTGCGCTGCCGTTATCTGCCAGTGGCCATTGTTGCCCAGTCCAAAGAGCCAAGTTGACTGAGAAAGTGAGAGCCAAAAGTGGTAAAGACATATATTGTCTATATATATATAAAATATGATATATATATAATATAATATGATATACATATATAATATGATATATATATATACAATATGTTATATATATAATATGATATATATATATAATATATAATGATATATATATATATATTTAATATAATATAATATAATATACTATAATATAATATAATATAATGTAATGTAATGTAATGTAATATAGTGGTAAAGACATATATATGTATATATATAATATGCTGTATATATAATATAATCTGACAATATATATCTATATAATATAATATAATATGATATAATATAATATAATATAATATAATGTAATGTAATATAATATAATATATATATATTATATAATATATATCTATATAATATAATATCTATATAATATATATATAAGCGTGATGGCTTATGATTTGAGGTCACGGGTCACCTTTCAGCTTGGGAAAACTGGAACTGGGAGGCTTCATTGGCGATTTGCGTCTTCGGATTGCCGGCCGCCTGGCGACCGGGCTCCAGGCGTTTTGGTTCCTCAAAACGGACTGCCTGGCGACCGGGACCATCCTAGTACAACCCGCTGGCCAGGTGCACAACGACTCGGCAATCTCCTTTGTGCCGTGGGGGGACCTATGACTTGTCCCAGCGAAAATGTCGTGTCAAGCTGGCGGAGTTCAACCACTGAGGCCTGCTCCACCTTTGCGATCTCCGGATGATGCTAGCGAGGCATGTGACTCATATGAAGCAGATCCGGAGAACAGTCGAACAGTCACTTTACTTTAATTTTTCATCTCTACCATCTCTGTTCATCAATCTTAGACAGAAGACAGAGGAGGACCCCTTGGAGGTCATGGATTGGTGGCTCCGGTAAAAGTTAATTCGTATGCCATCAATACGGGAAAAAAAACCTCCTCAAAACGAAACGTTTTTTTGCCACACTAAGATGGCACAAAGGGGTCTGTGACACATATTTCTCGCGTCGGCAGAACCAAAAATCACATTAAGATGGCATACATAGGCTATAAGGGTTGCATTGTGAGCCATGCTTGTAAGCAAATCAGACCAGTTGATCAGATGTGCCTGGATGTGCCATCTTAGTGTTCCGTGGCAGCCCCCACAAGGTGGTACTGAAACGTTTCAGCCATTGCTGGTTCCTATGTGAAACAGTCGGTTTTGAGGTTCTGCTGTTCTTTTTTTCGCAATGGAAAGGGAGGGAAAAAACCCAACCACCCAAACGTGGTCCATGTATTAGTGCCTCCTAGGTGAGAAAAATAGTTTTAGCAGCAGTTTTCATCTTTCTCGGACAGGATGTGCCTGGATGTGCAATCTTAGTGTTCCCGGGCAACCCCCCGTCAATCCCTCAAAAGTATCCAAAAGTTGTTTTTGATGGTTTTTGCATGTTTTTGGCAAAATGTTGCAAAAAGATTGGAAAATCAAGCCGCCCAAAAGTGCTCAATCTCTTATTGCGTCCTATGTGAAAAAGGTGGTTTTGAGGCGCTACGCTTCATTTTTTCGGATTCGACATGCCTAGATGTGCCATCTTAGTGTTCCGTGGCAGCCCCCCACAAGTGGTGTTGAAAAAAAATCTGGCCACCCAAAAACGTTTCATCTCTTGCTGGTTCCTATGTGAAACAGTCGGTTTTGAGGTTCTGCTGTTCTTTTTTTCGCAATGGAAAGGGAGGAAAAAAGCCCAACCACCCAAACGTGGTCCATGTATTAGCGCCTCTTCTGTGAAAAAGGTAGTTTTAGCAGCAGTTTTCATCTTTCTCGGACAGGATGTGCCTGGATGTGACATCTTAGTGTTCGTGGGCAACCCCCCTGTCAATCCCTCAAAAACATCCAAAAGTTGTTTTTGGATGGTTTTTGCATGTTTTTGGCAACATGTTGCAAAAAAATCGGAAAATCAGGCCGCCCAAAAGTGCTCAATCTCTTATCGCGTCCTATGTGAAAAACGTGCTTTCGAGGCGCTACAGTCGGTTTTGAGGTTCTGCTGTTCTTTTTTTCGCAATGGAAAGGGAGGAAAGAAACACAACCACCCAAACGTGGTCCATGTATTAGTGCCTCCTATGTGAAAAAAGGTAGTTTTATCTTTCTCGGACAGCCCGGATCACAGCCATCCAAACGTGGTCCATGTATTAGTGCATCCTATATGAAAAAAGTTTTAGCCGCAGTTTTCATCTTTCTCGGACAGGATGTGCCTGGATGTGCCATCTTAGTGTTCCCGGGCAACCCCCCGTCAATCCCTCAAAAGTATCCCAAAGTTGTTTTTGATGGTTTTGCATGTTTTTGGCAAAATGTTGCCAAATTTGTTTTTCTTTTCAACACTAAGATGGCATAAGTTAGATTTCTTTGAATTGATCGTAGCGATTCTGCTATTCCTATTGGGGCAGGCACGCTAAGATGGCAAAACAAGGGCCACCCACCTATTCCTATGCCATCATAAAAAAATGACATTCGCTTAATATGCCATCTTGCCGGGCGCAATGAAGATGCCATCTATTCGTGATCCCCTATAGGTTCTTTAGTGGTTTGTTTCAGGACATATTCCATGTTGCCCATCAACAAGTTTTTTATTTAAACATTTTGTTGCATCAGTTTGTAGTCTGGACTCGGCGCCGCCACGCCAGGCCTTCCTCATCGAGGTGTCACTAGATGGAGGTCTTTTTTGGCTGAGCAACTGAACTCAGAGTCTTTTTTAACACGTCAGCGTGTGATTGGTGCAGTGAACCGTGGGATATGTTAGAGATTCATTCTCAACGATTCGCTGCACGTCGCCATATCTAATTGCGAATTCTTCTCAAAGAGGAGATATGTAGACTCTGTAGACTCTTTAGACCCAGCCTTTTTGAGGATAACACCGTGGCATGTTGTGTAAGCTCAGAGGTGGGCTTCTTGCTTTTGGATCATCGTCCAAGGCTCCGGCATCCAATTGACCTACAAGCACCTTCCCGTCAGAGACCCATCAGTTCCAAGACTTCCGGAGGTTTGCTTTCACATATGTTCACATATGTTCACTTGCGCAGTCCAACTATCTAATAGTCTACGGTGGGTAGTTTCTGTTGCGAAAGACCTTAGACTACGTCCTGAGGCAATCTACGCGCTTGCTCCAACTCTCATCGTGCAAGGGGAGCGATGTCGAGTGATGTCTCAAGTTGTGGTTTGGGTGACAGACTTCGTGGAAAGGATTTCATTAGCTTTAGAGTGTTTTAGATATTAGTTTCTATTAACGTTCATTCCAGCCCCCCTCCCCTCCCCCCGGCCATGGTCATGGGTCAGCCATAGTACTGTGCCCCTCCCCCCCCTATGGTGTGGTGGGGGTGTGGTACTGTCCCCTTCCCCTCCCTGTGGTGTGGTGGGGGTGTGGTACTGTCCCCCCTCCCCCCTGTGGTGTGATGGGGGTGTGGTATATATATATACATATGTTTATATATATATACATATGTTTATATATATATACATATGTTTATATATATATATATGTATCTATAATATGTATATATATATGTATGTATATGAATATATGTATATATATATATACGTATATATGTGTATATATATATAGGAAGTAGATACATAGCACATGTATATATGACTATAGGTAGCACGTAGGTACTTTGAGGGAGTATGTGTGCTACGTAGGTCGTCTGAAAGGATCTAAAAGGTAGCATGCACCTAGTAAATGCGAGGCTGGTAGTCAGAAATGCAGCAAAGACCTAGCAAATACGAGGGTGGACCTCAGAAATGCTGCCAATAGCTTGCAAATAGAAGGGAAGGGGGTGCAACCTGGGGACCCATACCATTCGGGGGGGTGGGGGGGGTAGGAACACGAAACACGAGACCATATATATATATATAGATAGATAGATACACATATACATATATATACATATATCTATACATATATATATACACATATACATATATATATACCCTGTACTTAGGGATTCCTATTATGGCATGGATGACCATTTCACATATACCATATTTTGATTATTTTGAGCATTGCACATGTGTTACATGTTTAACTTTATTATCTTTATTGTGTTACAATTGTTACAGAATTATGAACAATTGTTGTTTCATGTTGATTCACCTTCAGCATCCGGACAAGGAGGCGATACAGTTGAACATCTCCGGCAGCCTGACTTTCGCCGGGGAGGTGGTGGGGAGACTCAGCGACCTGGACGACCCGTTGTAGCGGTAGGACCCCGTTGGACGCTGCTGTGCTGAGATCTCACTTCAAGCGCCACCGCTGCATCCTCTGCCCAGCAAAGTCGAGTCAGTGTATCCGGCTGCGCAGGTGGGCATCTTCCACCAGACCTGGATATTGATCTACTGATACCTACTGTATATCTACTGTATACCTACTGTATATCTACTGTATATCTACTGTATATTACTGTATAAGTCTCTATCTGTTTTTTAATTTGTTGAACCACCCCAGAGATCACAGGGCCATTTGTTGTTCCGTGAACTAGTGCATGGTGGACTTCTGGTCGAATTTTATGCATGTGTCTGCTGTGAAGTCACTTGTGCGGACCAGTTTGACATAATTTGACATTGTAGATTTGAGATGGAACACATTCAGCTAAGAAATTTCTCCACATTGGCATGACATGCTTCCCTTGGCCTTTTTTGGCTCTGCATTACAAAGCCAAAGAGCTGCCAATGTAGGCTCTGAGCCGGATGCTTACTTTCTTACCACACACATACAGAGGCACTAAAGCCAAGGTGGCCATTAGCTCCATCAAGGTGAATGGCCAATCTGAGGTTCAACAGAGGGCAAAATGACGATGAACCAAAGAAGGCCAGTGCCAGTGCACGCCAAGAAATATGACAGACATACGTGGCAATACATGGCCAGAAGAGTGTCGAGAGCAAGAGAGTTTGTCTTTGCTTCGCCCTGGGCAGACAAGAAGCAATTTGGAAACCACCTGAGTAAGTGTACTTGTGTGGGTACCACTTTGTTCAGCGATCTGAAGATTTTTCGCTGAGCTGTTCCAACAGTGCAAGGACGCCGCTTTTGCTCCTAGCGGTCTTTGCTGCTTTAAGCTGCCTGGCTGCATGCTTTGGTCACTTCAACATCTCAATATTGCCCTGCAAAGATCTGCGGTTCACCTCTTTCTCTTGTGAAGTCACCTGCGGCTCTACATACTGTTTCGGTTGATGGAACCAGTTCTAAACATTTCCAGAATGTGGCCCAAACAAGTCGTGCACCAAGGTCAGCTGACCTTTGTTGCCCCAAAGGCCCTAACTTTTGGGATTGCAAGTTTTTGCACAGGCATGGAAAATGATTGAAGAAGTGGCCGTAAAACCATATTTCAAGTCCCATGGTCTATCATAGTCTCACCACTTTCAGGGGTAAGACTACTTGTAGCTCATCGATAGGAGACCTCCCCAAAAATGTCAACGCACTGATCGTGTCATTTGGCTGGCGGCAAGGATGCCACCTTGCCAAAGAGAGCAAAGGCCAGCTGGACGAACACATGGCCGTCAATGCAGATTCAGTGCCGCTAAATTGTGGGGCATTTTGGGCGAGTGGAGAAGATGTCTTCTCAAGTCCCTTTTTATAAGCAAGAGGGAACGTGTCCTGAGCATCTTTGCATGCAATGCACAGGCATTTCACTTAGTTTAGGAAAGTTTAGGATATTGCTCCCAGATGGCTGGGTTGGATCAAGTTTTTTTTGCATCATTTTGAGAATTTGATGGAATTTCAGGCACTTTCAGATGTGCGCTGTGAGCTGTCAGGATGTTTCACAGGATATCAAGACCGAGCACCAAGATGAGCTTGAAAGGGTGGAGGCAGTCTGGATGTCCTTCTTGATGAGTGGGGAGGAGAAAACAACCATAAACAATACACAAATGGAAAACACAAATCGCAAGGTGCTGATGTGAGTCAGGAAGACAACGTTCTTTCTGAACTTTCTGAGAGGAAGAGCAAAGATTCCGGTGCTAAAACTGAGCATTTAGTTTGTTTAGTTTGCTTATTTTTCTTGGTTGGCTTGAACGATACTTGAACGGTTCGTATTTCTTTGCAACTTCACCGCGGCTCGGCCCCAGGCTTTGAGACAAGACTCTCTCGAGGAGCGGCATCAGACAATCTTGTGGCGCGTTCAACGGAAACGCAGATGCCGCAGATGCCATTAATTTCACAGGGGTTGGTAACTGTCCCATTTTGGGTATATTGGACATCACCTTATAGTAGCCATTATAATTAGACCATATACCTAATGGTTGTGTGATGTTCAATGGGGACATTTAATGACCCATGTTTCATCAATTTGTTTTTGTTGTCTAGATTTGTCAAGCGTGGAGATGCGGAATTTCCAGCTGTAGCTACTTGGGATCACTTTTTTGCCAGTTATGACACAGTCAGGCCTGCCTGCTCGCTGCGGAGGATGAGAGTCAGCTTGAGTTCAGAGCTCACTTTGGAGTTGTAAATCTTCAACATGTATAAAAGCTACGAGAAAGTATTGGGCAGAGTCAAGGATTAGTCAAGGATTAGTCAAGGATTAGCATTGATGAGGATTGATGAGCGTTGGGTGGACTAAGTGGACTAAGTGGACTAAGGCTCTGTCAAGAGCTCAGCTACGAGCTGAATACAGCAGAGCAGCTGCTCTTCAAACGCAGGGAGCTTTGGGGGTGGCCGGGATGATTTGGGATGGCAGTCGAGCGATGTCGAACGTGTCGTGGCGAAGCTATTAGTTGTGTCCCTTGGCGATGGCTTCCTTCGTTTTTGGAAGGTGACTTCAATGTGCTGGAGACCACGGGTCATTAAATGATGTGACCTGAACATCTTGGTTCAAAACAGGAAAGAGCCCTAGAACTGCCAAGAAAGCATGGAGACGCCTCAACTTACAGTAGCAAGAGGGCAATGAAAACAACATGCATCATGCATCTCAAGATCAGGTAGACATCCTCACTGTCTCAAAGGCACCTAGGTCGGGCCACTTTTTCTTTTCGCCGATTCTCTCTGATTTCCTGTCGTGGGTTCGAGTTGTGCCAAAGAGTCGACGAACTGTCGCTCTGGCGATGGCGGAAGTGGCGCAAGCAAGCAGCTTTCAAAGCCTCTTGCTGCAGCTGGAGCGTCAGCATGCCAAGGAGGCTGGAACATCAATGGTGCCACAGCTTAAACACCTGTAGCGGTTGGCCCACGTGGGAGGGAGCAAAGTGGCTCGTACTGAACTTGTACTGGAACAATCTGGAGATTCTGGAGGATTTCTTTCGAGATACAAGTAGTTGGTATATACAAGTTTATTATATACATATATATTATATACATATATATTATATACATATATATTATATACATATATATTATATACATATATATATATGTATTTACTACACGAAGCTGTTTGAATCTATGTGAATTGAATCTGCATGCATTTATCTTCATCTAGATGAATCAAGATGAAAGTCTATCTGGTGGGACTGAGATTGTGAGACGTTTGTGACGTCGACCTGACCCACAGCCTCACCTTTCCCTGTCAGGTCGAGGAATTACATGCAGAGATCGAAAAACTGAAGGTGCTGTGGGCATTTTTGGGCCTGGTTCTGTATAATTCAGTATCATATAGTATGATCATCTCATCAACATTCATCAGTTGACTTTAACAACTTTAACTAAGACCCTGTCGCTCCCTTTGTGAGGAACTGGTCTTTGCATCTAATCTATTAGCCAGCAGATGCCAGCAGAAAGTGGCAGACAACAAGCGATTGGCAGCATGACTTCATTTGTCAGTTTTCGATAGGCATCATATAATCAGCTGTTTTCAAGCTGTATGTGTATGTATGTATCTACATCTCATTGTGTCCAGCATGGTGAGGGATATCAGAATCTGACGCGCGAATGAAATCAGCATGCATGCTGCATTGTGTGTAAGATAGCTGGAAGTTTTGCCAATCGCTCATAGCCACAGACGGAGGAATCTGGGCCATACCATGTTTGCATGATATCTGCGAGTGCGAATAAGCAGGACTGCAGCAGGGACATATAGCAGCGACACATAGCATTTCAGATATTTTCAGATCATTTCACCATATTCATACCGAATTTGGTATACCATAGTTGATATACCATAGCTGAATACAGCTGATATACCATATGTATCCATATTTGATATACCATATGGGATATACCATATCTTATCCTTGCACGCGTACTGGCAGGTTCAGAACAAGGCTGGCTGCTTGTTTATGCGTTTCCTAGTTTGATGGATCTCCAGCCTGGACCTTGAACCGTTGGACCGTACGTGAAACATCTCGTTCTCTCTCCATGTCTATATGGAAATGTCCTTCTGCAATGTGCAAATGAGTCTCAGATTTGCAAAATCTTTCTACAACATGCAATATTGTAGGATGTTGGTGGCATATTCAGATTTCGGCATATTCAGATTTCCCATCAACTTGTATCTTCAGTACTGTTGCAAAGTCACTTTGCTCCTCTACATCATCAGCAAACACTGTTCTGGCATGTTCTGGCCGTGTTGAGCAGGGAAGGAAGAGAACAGTTTATCTTATCTCTTCAAGGAACTTTTTTTGAATTTCGACCAATTCGGTTTTCTCACATTTTCTTTCCCTTTCACATGTTTGAAACATGAAATTCCACTCGATTCCCCTGGCAGGGACCTTTGGGGCCAAAGGTCGACTCCTGGGGCACAAGTTCCCTGGTTTTCAGCGGGAGGAAGCGGGGTTTTTCTTTGAAACGTCAATCAGGTTCAACGCTCTCGGGGCGCTTTTGGTGCTCAAACAAGCAGTCCTCAGGACCCTCATTTGAATGGCATGATTTGGGGATGTCAGCCCGTACCAGGATGGCCGTTGACATTCACCCGATTCTTCATCCGTGTGATTCTGTATTCACTTAATGCCTTAAAGCTATCAAGTTGGACACACGTTTTGGCTTCGAACGTAGGAAATAAGAGAGGACCACCAGCACCAGCACCACCAGCATAGCCGCCCAACTGACATCCGTTTTCTGAGGCCGAGGAGACATAAATGGTGATGGCAAGGAGGTGCGGTGAAGATTCTTCTGACGCAGAATGACACAGTTCAAGAGGTAAGCAGATGTAATTGATGCAATCAGGTAACCCTTTTGTATCCTGGTGGTTTGGAGTTCTGCTCAGATTTTTGAGGGTCGTGGGTGCGGTGGAATTCAACATCTTCTGAAAACGAACCCTCCCTGAAGGTAATGAATTGGGCTGATGACCGGAAACCTGAAGGAGACCTACAGGACTGGGACAGACTGGGACGGTCTCCCTCGCCTTAGCATCGATTAATTCATTTCGAGTCATTTCGATTGAGCACCAAGCATCATGGCCTCTCACTGTAGTCTCTGGAGGTGATCAGGTCTTTGGTGCCTTGAACCTTGAGGTCAAAAGAACTCAAACGAGAAACGCACCAAGCAGTCATAGGTTTCTAGAAGCGGATCCGCTGGCATAAGAACCACAAGAAAGAGTAGTTCCTATGGCTTTATAATGATTTAATATGATTTATATTAGAACGATTCCAAGACCTGATAGTACACGTGCAATGTCCTTCAATGATTCAAAGTCCTTCAATGATATTGGGAAAATGCATCAAGACTGCGAAAGATGAGACCTCGAGTGAGCGACCTGTCAGGAAGTTGAGTCGGTGGAGGGGCTGACAAAACTACCTGAGAAGTTGAATGAGAAGTTGATTGAAGATCCCGTTGTCACTGCCAAGCTCACTTTGGAGGCACAAAGAAGTGATTAAATTTGGTGAAATGGGGATCGATCTGCAGAAGGAAAGACATGAAACCAGACTCCGACTGAAACGTGCACTTACGGATACTTACAGAGGAAGAGCAAGCAAACAGGGTTGTGAGGTCTCAAGGCTTTGAGCGAAGTGGTGAAAACAACACAATTACACTACAATGACTGGAATATTGAATGGAGCGAGTAAAGGTGAACACAAGTCACAAGACACACACCATGATATCATTAGATGAGACTTCATTCAATTGTTGAGCAGCAATGTCTTCAGTAAACGATCTTCAGGTATCTCCATGTCAGGGCTAAGTCTCACTCTCTTTGTATCTCAGTTCTGTACTGACCGGAGACGTTTGAAACCTGGCATCTTTTGCAATACTCATTCATTCTTTGAAGATGGAACAGCTTAGGGCTTGCATATGCATCGCATGATTTAGGCCGCGGTAGTTCCTCGTGTTTTACTTTTACCGACTGTATTTTCCCGAAAGCTCCTGCGAAGGGATTTTCCCAAAGAACTGCTGCCCAAGTCAACTTTTCACCTCATCTACATAGCTCATCTACCTACATCCTTTACATCGCCTACATCATCTACATCATCTACATTGACTTCATCTACATCACACACATCATCTACACATCTACGTCAACTTTATCAACTTCATCTACATCATGATCTAGATATCTCCTACAAAACTCCTACAATGCTCCTACAATGTCATTTGCAGAGGAGTTATTGCATAGGAGTTCACAGAAGTTGATGAGCAGTTACACAGGAGTTGTCACACAGAAGTAGTTACATAGGAGTTAACTCCCAGGTGATCTACTTGTATCTGAACTCCTACAAAACTCCCACTTCTCAGGTTTCTCTATTTTTCTCTTATGGGGCAGGCAGGCTGCGGCTTGCGAAACGTGACTCTCTGCGGAGAATGTGCGTGTCGGACGCACAAACGCGTGGTGAAATGCGAATTTTGTTTGTGCTGGAGCAACCCGCTGTGGAGATCGCGCGTCGGACGCCCAAATGTGTGGCGAAATGCGAATTTCGTTGTCCGTGGCGTCGCCCTTTGGCACGAAATGAGGGCGGATCGTCAAAAACTGGTGTAAACTTGCAATTTTGAAATTTCAGATGCAACCTCTTCGCAAGAAATGAAGGGCAAGGGCCAAAATTAGGTAGCGTAAAATTGTGATTTCGAAACCTCAGGTGCAACGCATTCGCGCGAAATCAAGGCCAAACGGCAACAATTGTGATTTTGCAACGTCACAAAGCTACTCTGTGGCAAGGCTTCTCTGCGTAAAAGCTTCTCTATGTAAAACATCCCTGTGTGTGAAAACATCTGTGTGTAAAAGCTTCTGTGTGTAAAAGCCTTTCTGTGTAAAAGTTTTTCCGTGCAACAGTTTCTGTGTGTAAAAGTTTTACTGTGTAAAAGATTGCTGCGTGTAAAAGCGTATGTGTGTAAGCGCTTTTCTGTGAAGAAGCTTCTGTTTTGTAAAAGTTGCTCCGTGTAAAGGCTTCTCTGTGTAAAAGTAAAAACTTCTTTGCGTCAAGACCTGTGTGTAAAATCAGCTGTGTGTGAAAGCCCCTGTGTGTAAAGGCGTCTGTGTGTTCAAATTCCTCTGTGTAAAAAAAGCTTCTTTGTGTAACAGCTTCTGTGTTTATAGGCTTCTCTGTGCAAAAGCTTCTCTATGTAAAAGCTGCTCTGTGTAGAAGCTGCTCTATGTAAAGGCCGCTCTGTGTAAAAGCTTTTGCGTGTAAACGCTTTTCTTTGTAAAAACCTGTGCCAAAAAATATGCGCGCAACAATTTCACCGTACAAAAGCTTGCTGGGTGTAAAAGCGTCTGTGAAAAAGCTTCTGTTTGTAAAAAGTGCTCTCTGTAAAGGCCTCTTTGTGTAAACGCGTAGGTGTGTAAATGCTTCTGTGCAAAAGCTTTTGTGTGTAAAAGCTCCTCTGTGGAAAGGCGTCTGTGTGTAAATGCTTCCGTGCTTAAAAGCTTTTGTGTGTAAAAACTGCTCTGTGTAAAGGTTCCTCTGTGTAGATTCTTCTGTTTGAAGCATCTGTGTGTAAAAGCTTCTGTGTGTAAAAGCCTTTCTGTGTAACAGTTTTTTCTGTGCAACAGTTTCTGTGTGTAAAAGTTTTACTGTGTAAAAGATTGCTGCGTGTAAAAGCGTATGTGTGTAAGCGCTTTTCTGTGAAGAAGCTTCTGTTTTGTAAAAGTTGCTCCGTGTAAAGGCTTCTCTGTGTAAAAGTAAAAACTTCTTTGCGTCAAGACCTGTCTGTAAAAGCAGCTGTGTGTGAAAGCCCCTGTGTGTAAAGGCTTCTGTGTGTTCAAATTCCTCTGTGTAAAAGCTTCTCTGTGTAAAAGCTTCCCTTTGTGTAACAGCCTCTGTGTGTAAAAGCTTCTGTGTGTAAAGGCGTCTGTGCGTAAAAATCCATCTGTGTAAAATTTCCTCTGTGTAGAGCATCTCTGTGTAAAAGCTTCTCTGTGTAAAAGCTTCTCTGTGTAAAAGCTTCTCTGTGTAAAAGCTTCTGTGTGTAAAAGCTTTTCTGTGTAAAAGTTTTTCTGTGTAAAGCTTCTTTGTGTGAAGGCGTTTGTGTGAAAATGCTTCTGCATGTAAAAGCTGTGTGTAAAAGCTCCTCTGTGTAAAGGCCCCTCTGTTTAAAAACTTGTGCTTGTAAAAGCTGCTTGTAGAGGCGTCTGTGTGTAAAAGATTGTGCGTGTAAAAGTTTTTGTGTAAAGTGTAAACACTTTCCTTTGCAAAAACTTCTGTGTAAAAAATATTCTCTGTGTAAAAGCTTCTGTTTGTAAAGGTGTCGATGTCTATGTGTAAAAGCTTCCCTATGTAAAAGCTTCTTCGTTTAAAGGCGTCTGGGTATAAAAACTTCTGTGCGTAAAAACGCCATCTCTTGTGATTCTGACTGTCAGGCTCAGTCGCCAGCTCTGGAGCAATCCTCCTGTGGGGACAAAGAAAGCTTCAAACTGTGGATAAATGATATTCACCCCGCTTCGCGTGGGGTGGCCGCCCACACCGCAGGTTTATTTCGGTCCGTGAGAGGGGCTAAGGGTGGTTTTCCCCCGTGGGGGCTCTTCAAGCTAAGAAGTTTCAATAAGAAATCCTTCCAAAACATTGTTTTTGACAGTGTTTTTCCAATGTTTCCAGTCAAACAGACGGTAATTTACACGTTTTTTGCCATAAAGGCAGTAAATCCTTCCAAAACATTGCTTTTGACAGTGTTTTTGTAATGTTTCCAGTCAAGCATACGGTAATTTACACGTTTTTTTGCTATAACGTCAGTCCAAAACACTTGTTTTTGCAGTGTTTTCAATGCTCTGGCATCCAAAAACCCTGCAAAATCTTGCTATGTACAATGTTTTTTTCATTTTTGGCCGTTTTTCCATTGCCGGAAAGCTACCAAAATGACCCAAAATTCCATTTCAATACCCTCTTGCGCTCAGACACCCAAAAATCCTCGAAAAATGTCGAAAACACCACCGTATTCTGGTCTCGGTGCGAAACCGTTTTTGGCCCCCCCCCAGCTAAAGCTGATATAGCGACTGCTATATTAACAAATGTCATTGAGCATTTAGTGTTGCTGTTGCCCCCCAATAAGCACGCCTTCACCGCCAAAGCGGTGTGGGCGGATTTGACTGGCGTCATTTATCATTCATCACCACCTGCGTCGTCATTCATCATCATCTGCGTCGTCATTTATCATCACCATTTATCATCACCATCGTCACCACCATCGTCACCACCATCGTCACCACCACCGTCACCACCATCGTCGTCACCATCGTCGTCACCATCGTCACCACCATCGTCACCACCATCGTCACCACCTGCCGCCGCCCCCGTCGCCGTCGCCGTCGCCGTCACCGCCAGCGCCAGCGCCAGCGCCAGCGCCAGCGCCAGCGCCAGCGCCACCGCCACCATCACCACCATCACCACCATCATCGCCACCATCACCACCATGACCACCATGACCACCATGACCACCATGACCACCATAACCACCATGACCATCATGACCACCATGACCACCATGACCACCATCGTATCATATCATATCATATCATATCATATCCTATCCTATCCTATCATATCATATCATATCATATCATCACATCATCATCATCATCATCATCATCATCATCATCATCATCATCATCATCATCATCATCATCATCATCATCATCATCATCATCATCATCATCATCATCATCATCATCATCATCATCATCATCATCATTCATCATTCATCATTCATCATTCATCATTCATCATTCATCATTCATCATTCATCATTCATCATTCATCATTCATCATTCATCATTCATCATCAAATTGTCTTGTGTAACTGATATTCCTAGTCTCCTCTATACTGCTTGCTTTCGGGCAACACTGTCTTTCAGTCCGAAGGGGTAAGTTGATAGAAAGCAACTCCATGCACATGGTTTTCATTGCCACCGCAACAAACTACATTCTCCAAAGCGTGATCCATCGAATGAACATGAACGTGTTTTTCTTTCAGCCAGAGTTCGGTGGCATATTTTGTTTGTTCAATGGTGGTTGGTACCACAACAGCCCATTGGATAGTCCTGCTTGTTACTTTTTTTTTGGCAGCGTCTACACGCCAAATCCTTGACTTTGCCGGCAGGTGCCGCAGGGTGTGTCTTCGCGCACCACAATAATGCTAATCAGCCCAAATTCTAGTCAGCAAGCCGACGAGGAGAACACTGGTGTGTGTTCTTCGCCAACCTGGCAAGACATGATCATGATTAGATTAGACCAAAGGACACTTGGATTGTGCCAGACACGGCTTTAGGAGAGATGGACCTGATCCAAAGTCATATGTATCAGAAGTGTTTTCGAAACTTTAGGGAAATCTTCGTCACTGCTGTGGATACAAGAAGCAGACAGTCAGATGCAGCAAACAGCAGGAACAGCTCGGATACTTTCAACGTTTTTCTCGCTGGGTACAGAGTGATCAGCTTCTTGGATTCACACTAGTGCATTGTGAGCCTGGGGTCCGAATATGTACATTGCACATCCGCACAGAGCAACAGATTGCCATTGGAACTCCATGAATTGACAGGCCCTGGATGTGTTGATGTTCAATCGCGGCACGGCCACGGTTCCATCTGCTTCTAAAATGGGTTTGTTGCTTTATCATCATTTTCCATCATTAAATGGTACTTCTATGACCCAATATACCCCATCTCTGGATAATTTCTAGACCGTATTGAGGTTCGAACTTTTCGTGGCTTGTCTCGTAGCTTGCAACTTCTTCACCATGGCAGCTGAGCTCCTTCGCTGCACATGAAACCGATGCACAATCATGAAAAAACACTTCGACATGATTTAATTTTACAACGTAAATGATGTAAATGATGACTTTTAAAGCAAAATACCTCAATTAAAACTCAAATTGCATGATGGGGGATGCGGAGTTTGAAATGAGACTGCTGCAAAACAGACTGTGAATTGGGTTTCGGAATCACGTGGATTCCAATCCTTGTGACGTCCTGACACTGAGGATCCAATATGACGGTCTTCAGCTGGGTTATGCTGCTAGACTTGAAATGACTTGGTCCCTACACATGATTTACACATGGTCTAGACATGTCTAGTTCAGTTTTTTTTTCCTCGGGCATATGAGATTTGTCCACCCTTGGAATCTCCAACAGCAACCGGAAAAGCATAGAAACCATAAATGAACAGTACATCACATGACAAGAACGCAATTAATCCTGAAGAAACAGATTACAAAGAGCCTAAGAACACCAAATATTTCAAGAGCAGTCAGTCTTGGTTGCATTTTCTGTCCCAAGTGTTTGCCAGCGTATTTAGCACTTTCCGAATGCTTTGCTGCAGGAACTCGGGCACCGCTTCATGACAATGCCAGCAGCCGCATTTTGGCCCGGTGCGGAAAGCGTGTTTGAGGTTCGAACCCTAGGGCCCTAGGGGCCTCAATCGCTGCTGGATATGATGGATATGTGCACCAATGGGGAGCTATGGGAGACATGTTTCCCTGGCATACTCTACACAAACGGGAACGCTTCCTGCCAGGAGAACCAGGAAAGTTCGTTTTTTTTGCCAGTTACACTTGCAGCCAGAATTTCCGATGTACAAGACCAGCCTATACCATAAAAGAACTATTCAGACACTTTCCAAGAGAAAAGGTGCTGAATCCAACCAGATAGGGAATGTGAAATTGATTGCACCATATTGCACCTGCTTGCTGAGTTCTTTCGTAATGCATTTCTGATCGCCTTCACCACAGAGATTGTTCTGCGCGTGTGTCTCCTTCGGGCGGAGGGCTCAGGAAAAGGTGGTCGCCGACCTCCGCAAACGGACACATCCCTTGCTTCTGCCCAAATGCAAAATTGGCTCAAGGAGGTGAAGGTGTGCAGGTGTGATGTATAATTTGATACAAATTTTGAAAGACAAGGAGTTTTGGTGATGTCGTGGTGATCCTCACAGAAGATTGTTTTGAAATGTTTTGAATATCTTTCAATAAGTTACTGTTTCAGTGGGCTCTTGTGCATTGCATTGCAGCGCATGTGACCGAGTTCAAATTCTGCAAGACACCGTTCAACATCATTGACTTCATTGCATTGTTGGCAGCTGTTGTGGAGCTCTTTAGCTTGAACCTTCCCGTGGATCCGACTATGCTACGTCTTTGCCGCCTAGCCAAACTTTTCAGGACAGATTTCGAAGTAAATTGTAACACACCTGTGCTACCAAATAACACTCCAAGAAAGCTCCCCCATGGCACCAAACAGGGAAAAAGAGCAGTTTGGGCCACTCGGTGTTCCTTGGGTGTTCAACATGGCGTGAATCAAAGAAATGGTTTGAAAAGCTATAGTATTCTTATGTGGCCTTCAGAATTTCAGAAAGTCCTCTACAGGAGCTGCCCCTAAGCCACCCTATGACATGACATTGCAGTGCATAACATTGCAGCACACCGTTTGAAATGGATATGGAAGCAGCGTGCAAGTTTGAGTTGGTTGAGAAGTATTATCACTTTATATCACTTTACCACCCTACCACCCTCTACAGAGCCTGTTGCACAGTTGAGTCATCAAACCAGTGAATGGAGGACTATTCGGGTGCTGCGAGTTTCCGGAATGCTGGATTCTTTGAGCATGTTGGCACGCTGCATGAGCTCCAGTGGTTTGACCTTGATCTGGTCTTTACTCTTTCTCTTGGTCATCCAATTGATCGCAGCCATGATGGCCGCTTGGCCAACCTTGGACCGTTTGTGTGGAGCTCGTCTGTCATTGATTGGCAGTGGGTGCAGCATGGATTTTTGAAGCATCAATAGTTGAAGTACGAGGCCCAATGAATTGTTGTGGAAGGCCCCAACAGGAAAATAGTCGATCACCTGCAGAAGGGGGTCAAACCCATGTCTTTGTTTTCCACCAGCTTTGGCTCGACACCAGGATCGCCAACCAACACCATGTCTGCGTAGGCCACTGTTGAAGACGTTCAAAACAAGGTGGATATCAGCATCAGCATTGGTTTGTAAAGTATTGAAAAGCAGTGGGAGAACAAACATGGCGGTAAAGTGTAGCCGGTGCTGAAGAGTTGGCAGATTTTGGTGGCAACTCCTGACTTCTGAGGTGTGCCTTATGGTGAGGCCATACTTGCAGGACGAGTCCAACGATCAGTTAGAACGTTCTGCAGTATATCGTTTCTATGGCGCCTTCGGATGCACTTGAAACATACTTGAACCCAAACAACTTCGTGTCGAGACAACTCTTTGAGGTTCTTTGAACTTCAAAACTTTGAAGCTGTGCATTTGTCCATATTTGTCCCTTGATTGGCGCCCTGGAATCTTCACAAATGGTCCGTATTGATCCATGTTGAATAACTTCATATACATATACATACGTATACATATACACATACATATACGTAAACATTGACATTGACATAGTCATAGTCATGCATAGTCATAGACATAGACATAGACATACAGATATACAGACAGACAGACAGACAGACAGGCAGACAGACAGACAGACAGACCGACAGGCAGACAGACAGAGAGGCAGACAGATAGAGAGGCAGACAGACAGAGAGGCGGACAGACAAAGAGGCAGACAGACAGAGAGGCAGACAGACAGAGGCAGACAGACGGAGGCAGACAGACGGAGGCAGACAGACGGAGGCAGACAGACAGAGGCAGGCAGACAGACAGACAGGCGGGCAGACAGACAGGCAGACAGGCAGACAGACAGAGAGGCAGACAGGCAGACAGACAGAGAGGCAGACAGACAAAGAGACAGAGAGACAGAGAGACAGAGAGACAGAGAGGCAGAGAGACAGAGAGACAAAGAGACAGAGAGACAGAGAGACAGAGAGATAGAGAGACAGAGAGGCAGAGAGAAAGAGAGGCAGAGAGGTAGAGAGACAGAGAGGCAGAGAGACACAGAGACAGAGAGACAGAGAGACAGAGAGACAAAGAGACAAAGAGACAGAGAGACAGAGAGACAGAGAGACAGAGAGACAGAGAGGCAGAGAGACAGAGAGACAAAGAGACAGAGAGACAGAGAGACAGAGAGATAGAGAGACAGAGAGACAGAGAGAAAGAGAGGCAGAGAGATAGAGAGACAGAGAGACAGAGAGACAGAGAGACAGAGAGACAGAGAGACAGAGAGATAGAGAGATAGAGAGACAGAGAGGCAGAGAGACAGACAGACCGACATACATGCATACATCCATACAAACAAACAACCAAACAACCAAACAACCAAACAACCATACAACCATACAACCAAACAACCAAACAACCAAACAACCAAACAACCAAACAACCAAACAACCAAACAACCAAACAACCAAACAACCAAACAACCAAACAACCAAACAACCAAACAACCAAACAACCAAACAACCAAACAAACAAACAAACAAACAAACAACCAACCAAACAAACAAACAAACAAACAAACAAACAAACAAACAAACAAACAAACCACACAAACCACACAAACCACACAAACCACACAAACCAAACAAACCAAACAAACAAACAACCAACCAACCAAACAACCAAACAACCAAACAACCAAACAACCAAACAACCAAACAACCAAACAAACAAACCAAACAAACCAAACAAACCAAACAACCAAACAACCAAACAACCAAACAACCAAACAACCAAACAGCCAAACAACGAAACAACCAAACAACCAAACAACCAACCAACCAACCAACCAACCAAACAAACAAACCAACGAACGAACGAACGAACAAACAAACAACCAACCAACCAACCAACCAACCAAACAAACAAACAAACAAACAATACATGTATGTTTGTCAAAGACTCAGGAACTTTCTCAGGGGCTGTGTTGACTCTCTTCGAGGCGCCTGCAGGAAGAGATGCGAAGATCTCCCAACAAGGAATAAACCATGTTATACACTATACATATCAAATCTATACGGCAACCATAGTGATATCATCTTATACCCATTCTTAGTGACTGCGCAGTTTCAGGGAGACTCATGGCTTGGCAGGTCTTCTTCGCCAACTGGTCGCCAGCGTGCAGGATTTTGACGGACAATGTCACAGAGTGGTATTCGTTGCTTGGTTTTTCTTGGTGTCCCTGAGATTCTCCGAGCCTCAACGACCAAAAATGCTCTGTGTCTGTGGAGAAGACAGGAATATTATTAAATTATAGTAGATTTTATAGTATATGTCTGTATATATTCAACCCTTGAGGAACAAGGGAAGCACCCGTATTGACCCCATCAGTGAGTCTTATCAACAAACCCAACAAACCCAAACACAAGACCTAAGTGCTTGTAAGACAGGCCTCTGAGACAGGTATTTGCATTGTCGGGTTTGAAATCGGATGAGACAATTTTGATTTCCCAGGCTCCTCTTCCTGATCTATCGCTGCGCGATTGGCTTTGCCGTGATCAATGTGCCTTGCTTTCAGCATAGGGCTGAAGATTAGTGGCCAATTGGAATGCTTGGCAGGGTATAACCATAGATTAACCATAGATTAACCATTGATAAACCATTGATAAATCATACAAAATCGATAAAGGCAGTGGTCCCCTGAGTTCCTAAGCAAGCCTAAGCACCTGACCGGCAGGGATGGTCACAAACTGAAGAGCAGGGAGATTCGTTAACAGAGCAGCATCAGATAGATTTGTCGCTCCCATTCAACTATGTATGCCCACATGCAAAAAGGGTTGCGCTTTGGACCCAGGGAGAAACGAACTGCCACAGATGCCACACTTCCGGACATACTTGCCTCGTTTCTCAGGTTGTGAACGCAGTTTTCGTTCAACAAACTCTTCAAGTTGCGAAAGGCGATGAAGAAGTTCTTTTCTTGGAGAAGCAGAAGGCGCCGGTCCGCAGCATTTCTTGCCACTTCAGCTGACCACTTTTCCATTGATGGACGGCTGTAGATAGCTGTAGATGGCTTTTATTTTTGATGCTCAAGACGCTTCTCTTGGTCTCGGATTTTGTGGATGCGATGGACACTTTTGATGCCTAACTCAAGTCTCAGTAGGCGGTTCCTATTGAGATTTGAGCAATTCAACTGGATTACAAGCTCGAGACTCGAAGGGAACACCTAGCTGCGAGCGTGTGGCTTTGGACGATGTTCCGTGTATGAAGCCCATGTATTCGTTTGATTGAGACATACACCAAAAGAATCAACAAGAGCTGGAAAGCAGCTGTTCCAGCAAAGAACACAAAGATGGACAGATGTATGATGACATTGAACAATGACATTTGATATATGATATTTGACAGATGATAGATGACAGATGATGATATATGATAGATGATAGATGGTATATGATAGATGGCAGATGATAGATCATATTTGATATATTAATTATAGATGATAGATATGATAGACGATAGATGATAGATGATATATGATAGATGATATGTGATAGATGATATATGATAAATGATAGTCGATATATGATAGTTGATATTTGATATCTGATAGATGATATATGATAAATGATAGTCGATATATGATAGTTGATATTTGATATCTGATAGATGAAAGATGAAAAATGGTAGATATAAGCGACAAATTATTTATGATATATGATAGATGGTATTTGATATATGATATATGACACATGATGTATGACAGATGATAGATGATATATGACAGATTATATATGATATATGATGATATGTGATGATATATGATCTTTGATCTATGACGATCTATGATGATCTATGATGATATTTGATACATGATGATTATATGATATGATATGATATGATAGGGTATGTATATGAATTAATAAACTAAATCCGTATTGCCATCGTGGACATGTTTTGAAACTTAAGAAACAATTTTGCAACAGCGAATTGGTTCAGGCAGAAGAGAAGTACTTCAAAAACGTGGCCAAGATCTTCGAAAAACTCGACACATCAGGCGATGTTGCATGGTTTCTATTTTGTCAGCACGATTCATGGGACCTTTTTGTTGTGGTGGGCGCCTCCTGCGCAGTTTCAAAGATGTTGAAGTGGGTTTTCTTTCCGATTTTGTACACCAGAGATACACATGCTAGTGCTTGCCCCTATGTGCTTGTTGTGAGTGTAACCACTTATTCTTCGCTGCCAACGTGTGTTCTTGATTATTTGTTGCACAGATTTGTAAAGTATGAACCCAAAGAAGGAACCGAACCTCCTATTCTCAGAAATCTCTGTAGCCTTTCTGGTGGGTTTCCGCATACAAGATGTACCCATCAAAAGATGTTGTGGTCAGGCGATGGACTTTTGTCCTGGTCAGAATTCGAGCAGTTATTGGAAGATCCAAAGCTCCGATTCCTTCTGGATAAGTTGGAAATCGCAGCAGGGGATGCTTGTCTTGAAATACATGGCTGGCAACAATCCTTTTGTACCTTTGCACCTCTTTGCAAAAATTAACTGATCATAGCCACTCGGATGCTAGTTGATTCTAGTTGCAATCAACACGTTCCACAAATTCATCTAGATGACCTTCATGGTCTAAAGAAACAATGGCTGCGGCATGTCATGTGCCAACAGAGTGTGATCCAGAGCTGGTTCAAACAGCCCTGCTTTCATTGTACAAACACATGGAAATTCTTGAGATTGTTTGAAGTCGGTTCCTGGACTTAGGACTTGAAAGTCTTGTTTGACCTCTTGGATGACACTGGCGACGGAGAGATCTCTGTAGCTTAGCACTTGAAATAGAGAAAGCTTCTGGAAACGATCTAAGCTTCGTTCTCAATGCACAGTTTTGTTTGTTTTTCTGAATTAGTATGATGGTATGGTCAACTTTGCAGTACATTTTTTGCTGGATGCAAAAGGCGTTGAATTTCAGTGATGTCAATTTATGTCAATTTCACGTTTTGCTGTGGTTGTCTTTGCCTTGCCTTTCAACTCGCACCAGGTAGAGGAGTTTATCGAAGGAGTCACCCGTTTCAAGGCGCTTTGACTTGGGTGTGGCCACATTTGCCTCAGAGATGGTGCCCTGTTCATCCTTGTTTCCTTCCTGGAGATTCACGAAGCAAATTGAAACAATAATTTTGGCACTTTCTCTGAAATATCTGAAATCCTCTTTGCGTCTTACAAGTATGTGGATTTTTGAAGCATGGGGCAGGGTGGGATTTCATCAACCTTGCACTGAGCCGACTTCTCATTGCACTTCTCATATGAAGATTTTCCAGGGCAACGCCAAAAGCTTGGACGTGGGGCAAGTCTTGCTCCGCTCTCATCGGTTGGAGCGACATATAATGAATATTGAAAAGCTGCTCGACAGAAGGATAGTGGAAGAGGAAGGTTCAAACCATGGAGAGTAATGCCACGGTGATTTGTTTCTTATGTTTCTTTAACCTCAGGTTTAAGGGGACCATCGTGCTCCTCTCAAGACTTAAAACAGACTTGAAACATCTTCAAATTACCTCATGGGGAAGGCACTGGAAGGAGATTCTATTTGCATTTGGTTGTCGTTTGCCTGTGCGTGCAGAGATGAATCATGTGCACTCGGCCAAACAGTCTGGTTGTAACTCCAGAATCACCGATGCGCCAAGGCTGCTGACAGACCCGAACGATGACTTGGCATTGGAGGCTGCTAGAAAATCACACAAGGCAGGACGATTGACGGATACAGATTGACTATGATTGACTTGTCCCAAGACCTGTTTTGATATGTTTTGATTGGACACTCTTTTCTTTGATAGCCTGGATTTCCATTCCACGATCCTCGAAGTCAGACACTTTGTCATTGCAAGAGCCTTAAGCCACAATGTGGATGTGCTGCGATGTGCTGCGATGTGTTTTTGCGTTACATGTTGCGCTTTTTCTTTTTGTGTGCGTATCCGCATTATAGCTTCAACTGGTGCGCAGCTGTTTTCACAACTAACGGGGATTTGGTATGGGCTCCGCCTCTGAAGTCGCTTTGCCAGTGGATCATGTTGATTCCCCCTGGGGAAGATTCAGATGATTCAGATGCGTGGGCCAGAAAGCACCAGTTCAAGACGTAAAGACGAATACCTTGCAAACGGAGAGCTAGCACTGCTGTGACCCCCGTTGTTATTGTTGGCTGGATGGATAAGCAAGAGCACATCCTTCACTCACCCTTGCCTCGAATGATTAGGAAACTCTCAATTGCACACCCCATTTTGAATACTTTCTGCGGCTGAAATTGAAGCTTCATGAAGCTTCCAGATTGTGATTTGTGTCAGGCCTCCAAGCGACACTAAGTGGCAGACATGGAACGATTGCGGATGTGGCTGACCGCCCCTCCTTCTGCCTGCCTGCATCATCTCTGGCCATGGATTCAGCATGGATTCCTAAGGAAGTCTGTGCTCTTGAGGTCCTGATGTTCCATGTCACATATAAATATCCCTTGAAGCTTTGTTCGGGACTTCAACCAGCAAGATGCAGCATGTTTGCAAGAAGGAAGCAGTGTAAGTCAGGATTGTCAGTTGTGATGGGTATCATGGAACATCACGGACTATGTAATTAATTAACCTGGCAGGGGGATGCACAATGCAACCTCCAAGCCCTTCACGTGTACTGACGTAGTCACACGCGAGCCGTAAGAACCGTAAGACTGTGAGTCTGTCAACGATCTGCCTTCAAACTCGACGGACCTGCAAGTTTTCGACCCATCTTGCCGCAGCTTGACTGAGGAGCTGTCGACCCAAAAGATATGCAGTGGAATGAGATGCGGGAACAGTTTATGCTAGAGAAGAAACAGTTTGACCTTATGACTTATGACTGTTATTTGTTACATTTTGCCCGTTTGCAATTTCCTTTCCTTTCAGTGTCCTTTGTGTTTTAGGAAGACTGCATTGGGAAATCTGACATGCAGCTTGGGTAGCGAGCTCCTGGACCTTGGATGAATGTCGTGCAAATGTCCTGCTTTCTCTAAACCTTCGTCCGTTGTCAAGATTTTCCAGAGATGCGCGCCATAAAACAAGCGGTTCTCTGGGAGCTCATTCGCTGGTCCAACCAGGCAGAAGCACCCAACACTGCAGTTTTCAAAGCGTCGTACGCGGTGGTAGGCGGTTTCATCATACCCTCAGCGCCAACACCGCAAGGAAGCAGGAGAAGGACTTAGCAGAGATAGCTTTGATCACTACTTCCCGTCAATTTTGTTCAAATTTTCAGTTCTTGTGTACCACACAAACTACCAGAAACTAGCCTCACAAGACACCTTCGTGCATTTTGACCTGTGCTTTTGCTTCAGAAAGCTGAGTTGTAAGTTCTTGAACTGCTGGACTCACAAACGGGAGCCGCTGAACTGATCATCTTAGTGCAGTGGAATCAAAAACAGCTCAGGTGTTGCTGGAGATGCTGGAGCACAACTTTCAACTTTCATTGATTCATGATATTCATAGCCCATGGCATCGATTTGAAAAGCTTCTCATGAAGCATCACATTAGCATTAGGTCCTAATTAGGTGTCTTGGTTTCAGCTTTCCAACGAAGACCATCGAAGACCCAGAAAGTGATTGGTGACAAGATGGGAGGCCCCACAGCTTTGCCATGCGAGGGTTGGTTCCATTTGGCCGGACATTTTCCCAGGTCGGAGCGACTTCCGCTATGTCGAATCTGATAGCTTTTAGGCAGAGGGCAGTGGTGACTTCAAATTCGTTGTGCCAGAAATAAGAGACATGCAGCTGAAATGGGCTGACATGCATTTGTCTTTACAACTCCAAGAGACAAGTCCGATATACTCCTGGGAAATGGTCATTCCGAGTCTCAGCAGTTGAGCATCTACTGACCCCATGTGCCCGTATGTGTCCAATTTCTGCATACGTACGTTGGTGTCTTTCATTGACATGTGAGACTTGGGACTATTCAAACCGATTCAAACCCTTAAATTTGCAATGTTTTGTGTTTTTTCGAGTCAGATGACGCTTGATGGGTGAAATGAGCTTGGTATGCTTGGTCAGACCCTACCGTGTGGAGGCTACTCTGTCAAAGGGGTGTCTTTCGCTTTTTGGGACAGTCCTTTTATGTTCACCAAGTGAGGCACAGGGTTTTGACGTATTTATAATTATATAATATTTTCTACGGACTGTGCTACCAGCTTGACATGTGGCCTATGACTTGCGACCAGCTTCTATTCTCAAGGGCACCTATCCAAGTTAATTTTGATATTAATTAGTTGTTCCTGCAATTATATGCACGTCACACACACACACATAATTATATATAATATATATTATATATTATAGACATATAGAGTCCATAGAGTATTGTTCTATTTTTTTTGCACCAGGCTTGTACTACAAATTCATAGAATTTCTATGATTAGAGGACACTTCCAGGTCTTTACTGTAACTTTTGAAAGGCAGTGTTTCGTGCCACCTGGGAGAGAGAGAGAGAGAGATCCCAGCCGGACCTGCAATGTCACAAATGTTCGTTTCTGATTTCTGAGGGAACGACAAATTGCATTCGCATTTTAAGTGCGGGTTGATTGCAGCTCAGTATCCAGCCTGTTTTTTCAAGTTCCAGACTGCAATCAACAGATTTCTGGCAACAGAAACATCCCTTTCTGGCCATGTTGTGAAGAAATCAAGAAGTATACCAGGCAGCCCAAGACCAGCAACATCCAGCAAGCCAATTGACTGCTATGCAATATCTATGCAATATCTCTTTAGATGCAGATTTCAAGGATAGAACGTTGGTGAAAAGTACAGCGCCAACTTCTCTGCAAAGCTTACTTTTGGAGAGCCCCTCGCACGGCCATAAACCTGTGCCGGCCAGGTGGATCTATCACGATGGGCCGTTCATGACTATTGGAACTGCTACTAAATTGAGGATATAAGACGAATTATATAATACGATTTGATACTATTTGTTATATTTTACGATAGTTTTCATTACAGTCCTCTTTGCAACAGAATCTGCTTGTGAATGATTGAAGTAACTTCAACTCATCGTAGCTCTATGCGCCATTCTCGAAAATGTTCGCGGCAAAGCATGAGTCGGAGGGAAAGGTGTTCGATATGCACTGCCCTCTTGCGGACTGGCACAGACTGTAGCGGATTGTCTTGGTGGAGAAAACAGGTCTTGTGTGATGTCTGCCTTCAGGTTTGTAGCTTGCAAGATTTGAAGCTGAGAAAAACTCGATCCATACCAGTAGGACCTGAGTGGGACAAGGCTGTATTCTCATGAACTGTCTCTTACTTACTCTGTGAGAACAGAATATGACAAAACACTCTTCAAGCGCAAGTGCATTCTGCTCACCAATTCCTATGCATAGTGAGGAGCGCGCGTCAAAGTGATTCACACGCGTTTGGTACCTTTCGCAATTTGCACATCCACAGAGTCTGAATTCAACCACTTAACATGGACAGGTTTCACCGTGTGATTTGCAGATCAAGAGGATCAATAGAGTGCCGATCTGGTCCAATTTAGATGCTCTACTCTTTCCGTTTCCCTCCTGCGCAGGTCTTGATGAATGATTCGGAGACAAGTGATGGAATCCCACGACTGACTCTTGAGTTAGTAGCTGAGATGGGAACAAACGAGCGAGTTGTCGACTGCATTCCGCGCCAGCAATAACACTCACTCAACTTAACTCAATTCAAGTCAATTCCGATCAATTCAAGTCCATCCGAGTCAATTCAAATCAATTCGGTTCAAATCGAGTCAAATCAGTCAGTCAATCAATCAATCAAACAGCCAACCAATCAAACAATCAGTGAGTGAGGCAACAATTCAGCCAATCAGCCAATCATTTATATAATGGTTGTATATCTTTGGAAACTCGTCTTTGCTTGTCGATTTTCTGCTGCACGCAGGCATGCAGGTATTGTGAAAATTGTAAAATGAACGCTTCCAAGGTGTTGAAAGTTGCTTTAATATTTGGGTGAGAGACAGAGAATTATTGGGGAACAAGTCAATGATTACGACTCTTAGTTTTTTGTTTTTTTAAACAGCGTTCCAAACATGCGAATCTAAGTTTGACATATTTTGACTGGATGCATTAGGCCCCATGAAGAGATCATATTTGTAACGTATGCTCACCTAATAAGTGACTGAGTGAAATTTGAAATGCTTGCCGGGACTGAATGCGTGTGAGTGATTCTGGAGAATCAGTGACTTAGGATACAGTGATACTGATACTTGTAGTATCAATGAATTCATGAGTTACTCATTGCTCTGGTAAGTTTTGTTGGTTCGCAAGTGAGCCATTACTTCATTCGGATGTCAGACGTTTGTCTCCTAAACATCCTTTAAGAATATAGTACAATTGTTGATGGGTAGCAGCAAAAACCCAATGCAAAGCCCTGCCACTCGAAGTGCAGGAAAGCGCCAACTGCGAAGCAACCCTTTTGGCTCGGGGCTGCACGACATGTAGCCAGGTTGGCTAGACCCTAGGGATATCCCTCCCTAGAAATGGGGATGTTGGGCCGATAGGGCCACAAAATAGGAAAATGATGTTCCACACCCAAATTGTGTGGCACACAATTCACACGGGTGAAAAGAGGAAAGTTTAAATGGCAAAAACGCATCTACCGCAATCTGCTTGATGTCGAGCCAGTCGGTGCTTGATTGTCTGGGTAGCGTCCCAGCTGGTCCAGGCATTGGGTGCACCATGTGCGGCCAAAGATTTGGCCATTGGTTCGATTGCGCAGGCACTGGTAGCTTGCGTGCCAAGCTCGGCCTTCAGCAGTGAAGTAAATCTCCTGCTGTCCAGCCTCAATGATCGTCCGGCGTCGATCATGGTTGTAGTCCCGCAGGATGGTCTGGATGTTCGTGTAGGCCTCGTCAGTCTCGGCCAAACGATTTTCAGTTTCGGTCAGCATCTCCTCCAGACGGATGTTCTTGGCCAGGAGCTCATTGAGATCGTCGACCAGCGGGTCGCGATCTGTCTGTGTCGCCTGCTCTGCAGTCTCCAGGGTGTTCACCTCTTTGAGGGTAATAACCTTCCAGAGAGCATGCAAAGCTGTCATCAAACGACGCGGCCATGTCGTCAGACATCGGCATGTCGTCGCAGCTCCAATCATCACGAGGAAGCCGATGACAATGGCGATGATCGTGGTGTAGAGCTCGTACTCGGAGTGCTCATCGTTCAGGGTGTAGGTGATGTTGGTCTCATTCATCTGCATGTTGATCTCGTCAATCTCATAGTCCAGGGCTGCAGCGGCAGTAGTGCAGAAAGCTGCAAACATTGCCGTGGTGGTTGTGCTGGATGGTTTCTTCAGAGCGTATCGCTCCGTTCCTTTCTTTCGCTCCCATGGGGTTTTCTTCTTTGCGGCCACAAAGTCTTCATCACTTCGTAGGCGAGTCAAATGGCTCCTCATCCTGTCAGCCAGCAACTGGGCGGCTGATGATTTTGTTAGGCCGTCAGCATATTGAAGTTCGGAGCTAACCCAAAGTGTAGAGGCACCGCAGCAAAGTAGTTTGTCTTGGGAGACCAAAACCTCAATGGCAGTGCGCTTGTCAGCACTGCTTCCTGTTTGGATCTCATCTCCGACCAGCAGGTCATACAGCGCCTTGGCATCAACAACCAACTTTGGAGAGTTGGCACATTGGGCGGTCTTGATGTCGTCCAGGGGCAGCCAAGGTTCCCATAGAAGTCGCCAAAACGTAGAGGCAAACAAAAGCGCATCGGCAGCGTCGGATGCTGCCTGGCTCTCTGCTGCAAGTGTGCTTCTCGCCACTCGCGCCAGCTTCCAGCTCCTCCAGTCGATGATGTTGTAGTGTCCTTCTCCACCTTTGGTGACATCTGGTGGGTCATCGCCACCATGTACCCTCCTTGACTGGAGAGGTCATCACGCGATGCAAATGATGCATCAGAGTAGGCAATGAAGGTGATCTCCTCCTTGGGCCCAAGATGTCGAAATTCCAAGCCAACGTCGTTGTTCTGCTTGGCAAACTTCAGGCACTTGTTGGCAGCGTCCAAGGTGGATGTAGTCGCCTTGGATACCTGACCCGCAAGGGTAGATACCATACACTGCAGGTGTGGGCTGGTCTGTGTTGCCGGCCACTGTAGGGCTCCAATCAAGCCCCTCAAGGAAGTCTTTTCGCGGTCCGTGACTTCATCGTTGGACCCATGTCGTTCCTTGGGGTAGGTGATCGGCTTCTGCTTGTTCAGGTACTTCTCATGGTGGATCTTCCAATGATCCTGCCCGACCTTGGTGATCTGGGCACCACAGTATTCCAGCTCCTCCTTGTCGTTGGAGGTGATCCATTCTCTGAAGTTGAAGATGCCCTTCAGGTTCTGCAAGAGGACGGTGGTGTGCTCGTCATTCTCATAGTAGCATCCAAAGATGTCGTCCACGTGCGTGCCAAAGAGGGCGATCAATCTTGGTGCTTCAGCGCCTTCAGGTGGAGGTGGATGAACTTGTCGATCAAAGGCCAAGAAGAGGCAGGCATCAAGGGGATGTTGAACGATCGATCCCTTGCCCATGTTGAGGATTCTGGTTGTTGCCTCTTCATACCAAGCTCTTGGAGCATCGCAAAAGGCCATACATTGGCTTGATCAATTTCATAAGTTTTCCATGGCCAGGGGCCAATCCAAGTAGTTCTTCTCCATCTCGAGGGATTTTCACCCAGATGTTGCGGTTGGACTCAGGCTTGAAGTTCTTGCCTTGTAAGAAGGCTGTGG